ATGAATGGAAGGGGGTTTTCGGCCATATTAGAGGGCAAAATGGATGGGTGATGTGTTGGGTATTTTGGCTTGGCTAGTGAGGTGAATATTTGGTGGTTGGGGAGTGATTCATTCTGCCATAGTGGGGGACAGTGGGGTGTGAGAAATATGGCTTTTATAGGGTGGCTTTTATGGTGGTTTAAAGGTCAAAGTAATCAAAAATATCCCTTGGCTTGTTGTGCTTGTTATTTCGGTTGTACTAGGGGACAAGGGGGGGACAATGTTTGTGGGATGTTGGGTGATGAAATATGGTTGTTTGGCTTGGTGTGTTTCGGCCCTAGCTTAGGGAAATGAAAAGGAAATTGACTTATGGTTTTTTCTTTTGGCACAAAACGTGTTATTTTGATGGAGTGATTCAAGTAGGGAGTGGGGTAGTCTGGGCAGGGTATACGGCTCTTTTTAGGATGGAGATAGGCTCAAGGTTGTCAGGGTTAAGTAATATGGTTTGGGGTTGGAGAATTCATTCCAGAAAGGATCGTAACACTTAGACATGATTCCACTGATTTGTTTAAGGATTTGAGGATCAGGTGTAGTACTAGGGGATATAACAAGGTAGGCACTTCTCCAATTATGGTTAGTTCAATTTGCACATGTTCTTATATGCAGTTAATACTTACTATCTCCTCTTTTTGGGAACTACTACAATATCAGTTTGATCTCTGATATGAAAATAATTGATCACTTATTTCTGGTAGAAAAATATAGAATTACAATATATGGATCCATTAGTGGCATTGTTTTACGATAATGTACTTTTTATACTTGTTTGGTAATTTGCATTACTTGAAATCTTCACTTAAAATGCTGGTTATCTGGAGAAAGACGTGTTGTATATAAGCATCCAATAATGTTAAAATTGAGTGAAATGATAAAAATCAGATTCGCTGATAACTTAATTGTTCTGTAGTATTTTGGTATTGGATAACTTCAATAAGGCACACAACGAAGTGGTATGCATTTATTATTACAGCTCGAGCCGTTTCAGATCCATATACTAGCACCAGTATACATATTTTGCCCAGCTGTTTCTCAAGTATTTCAAGAACTCATCTTGAAAGCAAGACAATAGGCGGGTATGTACCTTTATGCATATTTCATCTTTATCTGTGTGTTTGTATATCAGAGACCCATGAGGTAATCCACTAATTTCTTAAAACTAAAAATTATCAAGGTAATCCACTAATTTCTTAAAACTAAAAATTACTCCTTTCCTCTCCAAAATCCTCATCTCAAAGATGCCCTAAAGTGTTCCAGACGATCAACATCCATTAAGATTGTCAACATATAGTTTGTGGTATGGTTATCATTACATTTTGCTATTTTTTGGTGGATGCTTATTTGAACCCCAACCAAATATTTTCCATAATTCTATTTTTGTCTTTCCCACAAAGATAGTCCAATTTCTTTATCGGTATGGGCTTTTACTTTTCTTAAGTTCCATCTTCATTCCTACTTAATCAAGAACATCAAAGTTACATATTACTCATACATAGGAAATTGTTAACTATACAAAGGGTAAACTGAGAATTGCATATAAAATTGATTGTTCGTACTACCTTAAGGATCATTTTTAATTCGTGTGCAAAAAATAGTTATGGACTATCTGACCAAGAGTTTCCAAAGAAAAATTAAGGTATGTGGTTAACTATCCACTAGTAGAATCCTACTTGAAAATGTAGATGGGAATAATAATCACATATAGGAACCTCTTCTTGGATCCCTCACTGGGATTTTCCAATGCCCGTCAGCAAAACTCGCATTCTTCGCCTTTTCCCTCCACGTTCTTATCTCTGCTTCTGCCCATGGTTTCAGAGCACAATACTGCTTCAAATTCTGAGGCATTCTGTCATGAACCTTCCACCACATTTCGTGAGCCATGTCACTCGCCAAATGTTGGTTGTCTATGTTGTCCCAGTTACAATCATAATCTCTATAGCACCTCCATGGCTTCATCCCTATGAAATGTATAGTGTATACATTCTTTGGCACATCATGCTTTTCGCCCTGCAGTGACTTGAAGTTCTTTATGAAATTTAAGCCAGATGGAAACCGGTGCCACCATGAGAAGACTTCATTCAGAAACCCTTGATCTCCCCCATTGTATGATCCCGTAGTATTTGTTTTCTCCATTAGGGTTTTGAAGGTGCACTCTGATGGTTCGATTAGCATTAGACCGGAGTTGAACACGTGTCTGCTATTCCCGACTGCTGACATTTGTGGGTATGCAAAAAACTTATCTAAGTTTCTAAGGACAATGAAATCAGAGTCTATGAAGATGAGTTTATCGTACTCCACAAGTTGCCATATTCGAAGTTTGCTGTAGTTCCATTCATTATATGCACGTTTTTGTGCATGGGGGCTTCGGATCCTTTTGATTTTTTTGATTTTCCATCCTGCTTCTCTGAGACCATGAATCGATTTTTGGGAGATAGTTTCATCCACTAGGAGGACTAGGTCTTTTGTCAAGGTGGATTGTTTGATGCTTTGAGCCAAAGCTACTGCTCCGCAGACATAAGATTCTGATGAATGTACGATAGATACATAAGCCTCTCTTGGCTGGTTTAGGGTCTTGTTAAAGGCTCTTTCACGCATCTCTTGACCTGTTCAGATGACACAAGATTACAGCTATATACATGCATTTAAAAACAACAATACCAACAAGCTAATGATGAAGGATTTTATGACATTTGATCTCTCTAGGTGTAGTTTTATTTGTGGGTTAGGGGGAATTTTGGAGTAACCATCTGCTCTACTCTCTACTTTGAGGTAGTATCATGACAGAGATCAATGTAAGATGGTCTTACATACCTCAATTCATGTGACATATCACTTTTTCAGCTAAAATATATAATCTCTATATCTTTTAATTATCTTCTCACTTTCTTTCTTTGTTCACCCACAAATCATGTCCATATATGCTTTTGAGGAAAGGTTTTGCTATTTTTTTCCATACTTGGTTGGCATGCCTTGTATTCTGCTTTTATGTCTTTTTGAATCCCTTGTATTCTGTTTTTAATTTAGATGTTGAATATCATTGGAAGCTGTAGCTAAGTGATTAAACCATATCTAAATTTAACTTTTAAGTAGGTTGAATAATTGTTATAACTATATTTGTTTGTTTTTTTTCTACTGTAGGTTTCCAGCTTCACTGATCATAGGCCCTTAAGATCCCACAATGAGCGGTGGAGGAGGTACATCTAGAACTCAAAAGCATGATCCTGTTTGGTATAGTAACTTTGGTTAAATGATTGGAGTGACTAAATGAGCTGAATTTTTTTGAGTTGTCTAAAATATAGCCCATCCATTTGGATTTACTTGTCAACTTTCTTAAAAATCTCATTTTAAAGAAAAAATCTCATTTTTAAGAAATGGGTTTAAAATGTCAATTAACTCCTTTGAATGAGTTTGTCACTCATTCATGACATCAATGCTCATACCATATCTCTAGGATATTTTAGAGTGTTCTTCATAATTTTTTTTTGAATATAGAAAGTGGACACCAATTTTTGGACAAACGAAAACAAAAAAAGTGGATAACTAGATCCGTGCGGAGGGAATATTTGGCATATTTTTGAATAAATTATAGAAAACTAACTGTACTATTGTTTTTAGTAGCTGAATCAGCTAACACAATGGTTAGTGTTTGGTAGAAGATCTGGTTGATTGAGTAGCAAAATAGTGCCTGCCTAAAACCAAACTCCCAGACAAAGGAAGAACTCAAACTTACCTTGTTCAACAAATGGATGCCCAAGCTGGCAACTTCCAACCGGCATGGCCACCTTTTGCTTGAGGCTCCTCAAGTCAGGCTTATATACCCATGAATGCCCTTCATGCCACAACAGATCCTCACACCTGAAAATCTCCAACATGGGTTCACAAGAGCCTAAGAAAACAACATAGATTTCATTATAACTCCTCTCATGATCTTCCCATCCATTTATCCTCACCAAAAGATTAGCCACCACTAAGTTCACTTGTAACCTATACACATCGGTGGGACCCCCACACGGAACTCTAGCTACAATGACATTTATACCCTTGTAGTCTTCGAAACGTGGCATTGGGATTTCGGGACACTTCTCGGGTTTTTCCTCATCTATCCACTCTGGGTATAGGTCTGTCCATCGGATAGTTTCGTTAACACGAATAAAATCTACACTCATTAGCTCAGGTTCTCCAACTAAACCCCTAACTTCATTCTCCATGTTATGCACATTCACTAAACCGATTTTCATTCGTGTTACGTTTCTGCTTTCCAATACTTGATACCAACCGGGTTTCTGGACCGGATTAGGGAAGACCCATCTTGGGCGGTTTTCATATGTTCTTCCTAAGACTTCGATAGTGGTTACAAGAATGAGGGATAGGCAAACAGAGATGAGAGCAAATGTGAAAATCTTGGGAGTTGAAAGAGAAGGCTTGGCTGCCATTTTTCTTTCAGCTTCCATCTGTTGTGCATTTGGAACATCTATATAAAGAGGTCAGTCATGTAGATGAGAGTTTAATGCTGTATGGGAATATCTAATGGATGGTTTATTTCAAACCATGGTTAAGGTTATATTCATTCTATTTGTACAGTAGAAAATGTTTATGATCTTGAAAATAGTAATGAACCCAAATTCTCTATGCACTATTTTACCCCCTAAAAGGGAAACACTGATCACATTCTTGGAACCTGACAAATAGAGTATGAAACTCTTAATTGCCAACAGAAAAGATAACTTCTTTCTCTTGATTAACTTTCTTTTAAGGTTCTTACTGGATTTGTACTCATGCGTTGCACGATAAATTCTTTGTTCTTAAATGTGAAGAATGCATCTCATGTCATAATGTTGTTCTTAAATGTTGCACACTTCTTTCCAAAGTGAAATTTAAACTTGCTTTTTTGGATGTCCCAAAATGAAATTTACACTTGTGCACTTTCCCTTTTAATAAATGAATATGTGGCTCTTCTAAATGAATTTCACTCACACATCCTTTTTACTTTTAACTGCAGATACCTTTTACGGAGTACTTTTTAACGATTTTCTTAAACTCTATGAAGTTAAAGTTTAAACCTCATTTTTCTTATGAGGATAATTTTTATGCATTTTAAGTCACAAATTCATTTCACCGTAACATTTAATTATATACTCCCTCCGTCCAATATTTTTTCTTCCTAGTTTAACTTTTGTGTTCAATTTTTTAAAAAATTGCCCATAAATTATGGATAAATATATTAAATTGCATATAATTTTAATACGGAGTACCAATCTATTTATCTCAAAACGCAATTATGAAGTATTATGTTTGTATGCTCTATATTACGTAGTACTCTATATTATGAGTAATGCCTATGTTGCCTCCTAAAAGGGAAACACTGCCCACATTCTTGGAACTTGACAAAAGATTAGGAAACTCTTAAGGTTAGAGTTTATTTAAAATGAAGGTTTGTTGAAGTCTTTGTTTGAATGAAAAGAGAAATTAAAAATAAAGAAAATAAAGAAAGGAGATAGAAAATATTGTTGTTATTTTATATATTTGGATGAGGAGAAAAAAGAGCAGAAATACAATAGAAATAATTAATTCAAAATGTGTGTGTAAAAAAATTAACTTTTATACATTTATCATGACATGTTAATTCCATACACATAGCATGTTAAAAAAATGGCCAAAAGTTCTACTCCGTATATTTTATGTTGTAGATATATTTTATGAGCTAAGAAGGAAAGAACTGCAATTGTAGATTATTTTCTAGATTTTAACTTCTCAACAATGATAATGGTTGTTAGAGAATCTTTAATGACAAATTATTGTCTATGCTTCAAAACTCAACAATAGTACAAGAAGTTTTCACCGTGTCATACTCTAAACTTACAGCGGGACAGTAAAATCCAGGCACCCAAATGTCGGGTAAATTTCAAAACCCCAACTCAGTAATACTCAACATAGAAAACAAGATTTCTACTACTCCGTATGACACTCTTAAACTACAATGAGCAGCATAATAAATACACAAACCAAATACATCCAACCTTTGGTAAAAAAAATCAAAACTCTTCTTCGTCTCTTTGTCTCAGTTCTCACTTCAACCGTTCAATCTCCGCAGAGTGGGCCCCACACTCGCTGCCATTGTTCATGCCAAGCTCTTCTTCTTCTTCTTCACCTTGATCATCACGATGAAGATGATCCGTCTTGACTTTCTTGGATTTCTCCTCCAAGGGCTCCTCCTCGTCTTGTAAGGAGCGTTTGGCTGTTGGGTTTTCGTCAGGATCTCCACAAGCCATATTGCGAACGCAAAGACTCCCGGACACTCCAGTGTCGAGTTGGAACGAAACGAGCTTCTGAGGCCGTCCAAAAGTGTCCTAGACGAAATATACATGGTTAAATAATGATAATGAAAAAACGTTGATCCCAAACAAAGCCTTAGTTTCTGCCCTTATTTAAAATATCAAACATGATAATGTTATTGAAGATGCACAAATAACGGAATTAAACATCGCTTGATGTAAGATGATGATAATGATTAGTACTCCCCTCCATATTCATCCCGCTGTTTCTCATTTTATCTTTTTTCTATCCCACAATTTGTCTAATTCCATATTTAGCCAAATTTGTGTGGTTCACAATCATTTTTACTCTATCTTACCTTTTGTCATCAATATCAACCCTACAAACTTACTTTTCTTAGTTTCTGTGCCTCTCCATGTTCCAAAAATAGTGGGACGGAGTGAACACTAGTAGTAATAGTAATAATAATTATAATGATAACTATTAATATTATTATTATCATGAGAAAATATTCACGTAAATACTCTAAAAAAATTGAGATTTTATAAGAATACTCCAAGATTATATGTTTATCACCAGCGCTATTAGAAATTCAATATTGCTATTATAATACTCCAAGAAACTTTTTAGTTTATATGGATCAACTCATTTCTTGAGGCGCATATGTAATCGATGAAAGTATTATACTAAAAGTATTAAAATTTTGGGAACACCGATGATAATTACATTAACTTGAAATATTCTTATAAAATCTCAAATTTCTGAGAGTATTTGCATTAATCCTAAATTCCTAATACTAATGATGGTGATGAAGTGCAGTCATTCCAAAAAACAGGGAAAAGGAACATGGCCGTATTTTTCAATTCCCATCTACTTGCTTCAAAGTTGTCTGATTATGGTGGTGTTTGTTACAAGATGAAAGAACATCAATTGCGACACTTTAAAACTCAAAGAAAAGGAGAAAAAAATGAGGTTGCGAAAACGGGTTGTGAATAAAAATACCTTTTCTTGGGTACCTTCAAGCTTCTCATATGCCTCATTTGCTTCTTGCTGATTCTTGAAAATTGCAAATGCGGAATACTTACCCAGTTGCTTTCTATATGCCTGAAAACATGGATTTTGTTTCTTGAAATTTTAGAAACTTAGAGAGTAAGCAAAGGAAGAATATAATAAGTCATTTTGATTTGTTCCACTGTTCATACAACAAATATATACACATATCATTGACATCAAATTCAATAACCAAGTCGCGAGTAAATTCCACAAATGCTCCCTAATTACAATTGGTTTTCCATATTTACTCCCCAATTCCAAGATATTACATAAATGATCCTCATTCTTTGAAAATTATTCCATATTCGGTCCTTCGGGGACTATATATGGAAAAAATATTGTCATATTTGACCTAAAGGACTATTTATGGAAAAAATTTTAAAATTTGAGGACTGTTTATGTAATATCTTGTAATTGAGAACTAAACATGGAAAATCACCTGTAATTAGGGACCATTTATGCAATTTACTCTCAAGCTGCTTGAGCCTAAGGGAAGAAGTATGTGCAGGGGATCCCCTGTCCTAAAAATATTATCCCACCTTATGTCCCACCCTCCAGATGCTGCTACATAGCATAAAAATGTGGTCCCACTTCATTGTTGTGCCATCATTTGAAGAGCGGGGAATGAGTATGGCATAACAGTTTTGGGACATGAGATTTCTGGAAATATGATATCATATCAAATAAAAAACCAGAAGATGTCTAAAGAATAAAAATGACATTGAAAGAAACAAACCTTATACTTCATTTGAATGGTGAACTCTCCAGAAATTATTTCATGCAAACCCGTACGACGAATGCCTAAGGGTATCCTGTGGATAAGCAGCTTTGCCATCCTGTCTTTTTCTTCACCACCCTAAATTCATGGAATGGGGATCCAGTTTACAAACATACAACTGGATCTGAATGGCCCATAGAAGCAGGGGGGGTATTTGGACTTTAAAATGCATGGTTTAAGAGGGAGTTAGCTATTATTGAGCAGAAACAAGTTGCAATTACCTCCTCACGGGGGGTAAAAGGTATAGAATCATCAAAATCGTGCTCAACTTTTTTCTTGACAAGTTTCATTGCTGCAATTGCATCATCCAAGCAATTATGGGGACATCCATTCTCTCGGAGTTCATAGCCTAGCACAAACTGTTGAAAATCATGAGTTGGAGGTGATCAATTGCAGAGTTCATATTCCAAGTTATCTCACATTATTTATGCATTTGGCATTCTCTTATTAGTGTTTAGCAGAGTGGAGGGAGGAAAGAAATAAATACCAAAGAAAGATACGATAAAAAAAAGTGATACCCAGACTTTTATTCTTTTATTCTTCCCTCAGATGATAATAAATGGAACATAAAAAAAACTTCTTTTTTCCTTTTTCCTTTACAACACTTTTCCAAACATGACATGCAATATCAAGAATGAATTTTTAACCCTTTTGCACATTCCATTCTCTTCTCTTTCTATCGTATCTCTCATACCAAACAACACAAAATCTACTCATCTTCGCACACTTTTTTTCCCAAAAATTCTTTCTCAGCTATATTTGTATCTCGACCAAAACATTTTGGCAACAGAAAAGGGAACTGCAGACAGTGAATTAAAATTACAATTATTCTAAAAGTTTTGCGTTAGGAATTATCCCATAAAATAAATACACAGTGACCAAAGATTCATTGCACAAGAAAACTTACTTTACACAAGTTACTTAAAGAAGGTCTTCTGTTAGGAGCATCCTGGTATTTGAAGACATAAGCTGTGTCAATAACTTTTGCATGATCTATCTGTAAAGCTGTAAAATGAAATCCTTGTTTAGAAGCTGAAATGGAGGTGTGATGAGAGCAAAACATTATTTAAGAAACCAAGTATTATATGCAGAGCTAACAAAAACATTACCCCCTTGAATGGAGTAAAATTATAGTTTGAATATTATAATCTCCAAGGCAAAATTTAGACCATGAATATCTATAATTATAAATAAATACGGAGTAATAAATAAATATTATAAATGTAATATGTTTAAACTTCATTTCAAAATAAATATAATGATATTCAAATCATATCATAATGTAGTGTATATTTAATATAAATTATGATCAAAGTTTACAAAGTTCGACAAAAATATTCAAAGAATACAAAGTTACCACCCCCTCACCCCCCCCCACGCACAGACACACACCAGAAAAGGTTCATGTATTCAAGTTTTTAATTGTCCGAGAATAAGGTTCAGGTTTCCTAATATGAAAATAATTGTGGTAGAAGTTTATGTTAGTTCTCCCTCTATATACATCTCAACCACACAATTTCACTTTTTTTTTAATAATCCTGCTGCATCAAATGTAAGACCTTTTTTATGGGCAAGATGGAGTGCTTAGCTAGTAGGCTTACCTCGAAGATCATTGCATAAACCGTGGCCTACTAATATCTTCCCATGAGCCAACAGTTTCTTCATAGATTCCTATAAGAAGCCCACAACTTTTGATGGTGATTTTTGGTCATAAACATCAGGCAGGTTACATAAACTTAAAATTACCTGTACATCATTCAAGGAACATGTAACTCCATCTAAGTCAGAAGCATTAATTCCAGTAATATCTGTTCGGTAATCTGTGATTGTTTTACTTGGCTTTACAAATTTATCAAGTTTAACCTGCATTATACAAAAGCTTGGTGGTTTGAGGTCACCCATAAAAGAAGAAAACGGTAGGAATACAACAGAAAAATCTGTAGATCATCACAAATGTTCATCCTCAACTTGTTCAAAAAAATAAATGCACAAAATATCTTGTTACTTGTTAGAACAACAACAGCCCAGTTCCAACTTCGTTGGGGTCTGGGGGGTCGAGATGTAAACAGCCTTACCTGATTGTATTCATTAGATTATTGATGCATTCATTGATGCATTGACACATTTACTACCCAAAACTTCATTGAAAGTAAGAAGCAAATGAAGTTTAATGTGTCATTTTGATTTAGTCCATTAATGAAGTTTAATGTGTCATTTTGATTTAGTCCATTCATTTATCGGAAGCTAAAATATTGTCAATTACGACTACTTTAGCTCCACTGCCTATGAAAATGATACTCGTTAGAACTAAGCTGTGAAAAAATACCTTAAAATTTTGATCAACAACACAGACACGGATTAAAGCTTCTGTTCCATCTTTACAAAGGGCCATCTCGCAATCAATTGCAAGCATTTTAGTCGATTTCATTCCCTTGGACTTTTTACTGCATTTGGTAACTAACCAGCCCTGCATGATAGCTCGATTAGTATAATGAAGGTAAGAGGCAGAAATTATATAGGATGAAGAGCAATCTAGAGAGACAACATAGTATCTGTTGAATAACAAAGACTTCCTTGTACATTCTGATTTCTCACTCCATATTAATTCAAATAGAAATGTGAATAAAAATGCAAATAAGAATGCAAAGAAAGAAATCATATGAACCAGAATTCAAAGTGTTTTACTTGCGTTTACACTTTACATCAGACCACATAAAAACAACTTAACATTTTTTTTCTATTTGGGGCACAAGAAAAAAGATAAGGAAAGAGAGGAAAAGACTATGACCTGCAAGCTATTCCATTTAATATCCTCTTCATTTCATTTTAAAAGCATGATTATTGTTCTCACATTGTGTTTTCTTCTCATATAATGTGTAATCCCTAATTCATTCAACACTCCCTTTCAAGTTGGAGCATCTATGTGTGTGTCAAGCTTGCAACATGCAAGCACATGGGAATCATACTTGACCACACAGTCATCACCTTTGAGACTTTGACCATACAACACAAAGTGAACATCATTGACTGCACAATACATAACTTGGAAGGACAGTAAAGCATTTGATCTACTGAACAAGAATGACATAAAGTGTAATCATTAACCAGAGGAAAAATGTTTACCTCTTCGTACGATGGTAGGGAATAATCAACTGCATACTGAGGGTGGTTAAGAGTTGAGCAAACTAGCCTCTGCACGGCCAGAACAGTAATTTAGTATTCAAACTGTTCAAATAGTAATAAACTGTGTTCAAATAGTATGCAAAACTTCATTATCAGTAAATATCAGTTATTCTACACGTGGATGTAAGGTAATTGACTGTGTTTTAGCTTCGGGTAATAATGGGCTTAATCCAACTGGCACATTAAGCTTCCTTTGCTTCTTACTTTCCATGGAGTTGTGCAGTACATGGGAGTAAGGTTGTGTTAGTTGAATAGATCTGGGTTTATTGTTGTATCACACAAAAGGCATAAGGAATGAATCAAACAACAATAAAATTGCTGAAATACTGAAAGAGGTTAAATAACCCAAGAAAAACTGATATATCTTATCATCAGCAGCACCATAATCTTAACTAGTTTGGGTCGCAGTAGTATTAACATTTAGAGTACCCTACCACTTAAATTAATAAAGTTGATTAATACTACGTACTAAAAAAGAATGATGAGAAAGTAAAGATGTTCTACAGCAGGTGCCCTTCCTTTTGCAGTCTTCTTTAGAAGGAATAACAAAAAAATATCTTCGAAGGTTAAAATCTTTGCTACTATAATGACGTGGATGCCCAGTTTTCTAATCATTCCTTCTAAAGAAGGAAACTATGATAGGTTCCAATATTCTCACATATTTTCGCATCATCATTTGCAAGGGAAATATCATGAGGCGGCAATAATTTAAAATATTTGCTTTTATCATCTCCATTACATGATTCATCCTTCAAGACCAACATGCAAATCATGGAAACTGACCAAACTTAGAAAAATATTTGGCTTCAATTAATAATCATAGAAAAAGTACCATTCACTCTGTCCTACTAAAATACAGTTCCTCTCTATTATTCACAAGGTCAAACTATATCTTCTTTTTTACACATTTTTGTTGCGTGTATTTGATAAAATAAATTTTTCAATGTCATCATTTGTCTTATAGAACTTTTGATGTAGTTTTTAAATATATACTCCCTCCGTCCCAAAAAAATCCCTTTAGAAAAAGGTGGAAATTAAAGAACGTGTAATTTTGGAGTGACTTTTCAATTTTGCCCTTACTTTATTGTAGAATAGGGTAGGATAGGATGTGATTGGTAGATTAATAGTGAATAGATATGATGTGATAGAAAAGTTAATAATTAGTAGGGTTAAAAGAGAGATATCAATTGAAAGTGGAAGTATTTTTTGGAATGGATGAAAAGTGAAAGTGGACATTTTTTTGTCGGATTCTTATTTGTAAACTCTATACCAATTTTTAAATATATTGATTTGAAAATATATTCAATTAAACATTGTAGACCAAAAGAGAAACCTTATTCCAAACAGAGAGTAACAATTTAGTCAAACACTCAAAACTATTATTTTGGGATTAAGGCTTAGATTTCATTTTTGTACTTAAGTACTACTACCTCCGTCCCAGAGTATTTGTCCACTTTCATTTTTGCACATCATCCAATACACTTCTTTAATCCATTTTATCTTGTAATTTGTATATTAAAAAATTATAGAAATTATATATTAATAATCTATATGTTAAGACAAATCAAACAAGATCACACATGACTATATTTAGGCTTACACGTTGAGAGAATTTGATGAGTCAAAGTGCTTAGATGAACAGTTCCAAAAGTCAAAAGTGGACAAATATAGCGGGACGGAGAGAGTAATAGTTATTAGTATTGGCAGATCATTCTTAGTTCAAAGTTCTGATACTAATTTGTTTATTTACTGCCTTATTCAAACTCAAAGTGTAAATTTTCATCAGTTGTTTTTCAGCAATATTTCAAGTGACCAATACTTGGAACTAGGAATGCAAACACAAAAGAAGAACTCATATCTAATATAAACCTGTTCAGGGGATTCACAGTTTTCTGAACGTTTTTGGAATTCAATCATGGCATCACGATTGGCATGACACTGCAAAACCTTTTCAAATATCTGCAATTGAGAGACGATGAGAACAGCAAGAGAGGGGCATAATTCATCCAGTTAATAAAAGAAAGTTCCCTCATCAGTTACCTTTAAATCCTCATCCTGACTAAATGTTTTCAAAAATGCAGCTAAGTCTTCAACAGATCTCCTAGCAGGGTCAGACATGCTAAAACCAAACTTCTTGTCGTAAAATTGCAAAAAATCCTTCCAACGTCCTTTGCTTCCTTTCATTCCACATTTTTGGGATAACTTCACAAGGTGAACAAGTACCTTAACACCATAACACATAGTTAGTGGACATGAAGTCATCAGTTGTCAAGGCATACTTATGAAGACAACATACAAACAACAACAAGACCAAACCCAAAAAAATCTCACGGCACTCCCTAGTGGCGGATCCATTTTATATTAGTTGGGTTTGGAGTTATATAATTTATAATATATGACCCCGACTAAAAATACTGGGGACCCCAATTAAAAGTACTAGAGACCTCAATAGATGGTGTTAAGTGAGAAACAATGTGAAAAGTTAAATATTTAAATATTAAAAGAATAATATATTAGTGTGAAATTTTTAAAAATCACAAATATAAAATCTAAACTGAAACACTAAAAATTTATAATAATTAAACTAACTTGATTCATCCTTGCAGAAGCAAATCAACCAATGAATGCTCAAATGCTAACTTATAGTGCATAGAACCTTTCAAGAAAACCCTAATATCTAAAAACTGTAATATTGTCTGGATAAAAGAAGTTCTCGTGAACGTTCTCAGTTCACATTGAAGCTTATACAGACACTGCAATGAGAAGCTAACTATGAAAATTGCCAGAGCATGAAAAATTACTGCATTTCAGAGCACGATTCAAATCACGGTTGCGGATTACTGGAAGGGAAAAGGGGGGAAAACAACAAAAAGATATCTTTGTCAACATGGGGAAAATGGAGGGAAGGAAGAGAGTAAGAAAAGCTCACATCTTTCTTCGCGGAGGCAATCAGCGCATCCATTGGCAGCAGTCTGTTGCGTCGAAATTATTGAATCTCGTCAAGGGTTGGCCTCCTCAACTGTGTATCGATAGAAAGGAGCCCGGAGTGGTTACGTGCTAATGCCTTTCTTTCGTTCCAAAAACCCTAGCTGGTTTCTGCGACAGAGGCGATGGATAGGAGGGGGGGCCAATGGGTTGGTCGGGTTTGATTCGGATTTGGATAAATTCAAGTTTGGATTAAGAACTCCGAGTCCATAATACAGTATCATCCAATCTAGATCAACCAAACAAATTATGCGACTTTTTTTAATATTTAAGTTCATACTAATAGCTACGTTTTGCACTAAATAAATAATCTATAGTATATACAAAAGCAAAAGAATTCAGGCCTAATTTTTTAATATTTTTTTCTCGCCCAAACCTTGATCACTATCCACCATTGATGGCCTCATCCAATAAATCTTAGGCGTTAATTATTAAATATGGAGCGCGCCTTCCCTACATGCATTAATTGTTCATTATATTGGGAAGCGAAGGGTTCCTTCTCCTACTTTCTTTTTACACGTGCATTTAGGAAAGTTCAAACGGCCCACTTTCTTCTCCTATTTCTCCATCGCACGCTTCTCCAAGGTAAATAATACCTTGGAGAAGAAAGTGGACCGTTTAGAAAATAATACGCTTCTCCATATTTTAGGACCGGAGGGAGTAGTTGAAAACTGACGAAGAAAATGTTTAGAAAATAATTCTTTTAATGTAAAAAAAAGTTGTGTAAAAACTAAGGTAAAGAGTAACGAAAAAAATACAGAGTAAAAAATAAAAATTATTCTAGAGCACATACCTTTGAAGAAAAAAGGATTCTTTTAATATACTTCTTTTGACCAAGTTAGTTTTTCCCCATATATATTATTTTCACACAATCAAACGTATTCATTTTTTAAAGATTATTTATTTGCATTACTTAATTCATAATATAATATAGTCATGTCATATCTTGTTTTATACTCCGTATAAAATTTCATCTAATTTTTAAATATCAAGGTACATGAATTTAGTTTTTGAACTATATATTTACAATCAAATAAATTGAATTGAAAATAAAATTAATCAAACCTCGTAACACGAAAAATTAAATAACCAACTTGGAGGGAGAGAGTACTACGTACTCGGTGGCAATGTCAATCTAGAACACGCCTTAAATTTGGATGAGAAATGTTACAGTTACAAACTCAACTATCACAAAATATAAAAATTTATCATTAATGTATTCAGACTTTTACGTTTTAAGTATTAAAAATCAATTTACTTTTTGATGAGGTGTACAAATACTAAGATTGTATACCCCGGAGTATTTTATAACATGCATGGCATTTCTCAATTTGGATTTGGAATGCAAAATGTTCAACAAAATAGACTCTGCAGTTTGCACATATACTCCTTATATAGGCGGTTTAATGATTACTCTATAATGCCTTGAATCACTTATCACTCATCCACTAAGCTGAGGAAGCTTTTGACAGGCAATTAAATACTCCATCCGTCTCTAAATATTTGCCACATTTGTATTTCCGAGGCAAAATATCAAGTTTTTTCAATTCATTTTATTTACATATTGGTATAAAAATAAAAAATGAAATTTACATATCAAAAAAACTACATGAAAAGTTCTTCAAAATAAGAGGTGTCAAAAATATTTTATTTTATCAAATAACCAATGAAAACGTAGGAATAAACAAAAGTTCCTGCGACTGCTGAAAAAGCTAATGTTGCAAATATTTTGGGACGGAGGGAGTATGCACCAAAAAAAGGATAGCTGAAGCTCTTGTGATGCAATTTCTGGAATTGTTAAAGAAAAACAGAAGCCATTCAAATCAGTTGGTGACAAAATGCAATGACTTCACAAATGCAGAAACCAAAAGTGAAGATCAGAGCATGGAAGAAAAACTATCAAAGCCCAATTCCTTTCCAAAATATGGAGGATAAGTGATCATCTAATTATAAAGCCCAAAAAACATACTCCGTTAAAAAAGAAAATAAAGGAAAATTCAACAAATTGAAGGAAAAATCATACACCGTATTAGAAAAAAAAGATAAACCACAAACAACTTGAAGAAAACAATATTAAAAAAGATACATTACCATAGACAAAAAAACCTCCATTAGTCACTCTACGGAGTCTTAAAAAATATTAAAAATAAGAAAATAATTCAATTAATGATGCTAGGATTGCTTATTCTTACTTTGCCGATTATCATTTGAATAATTGTTGTCTCAAAATCCATACCTATTATATGCCAAACACTCGAGCATGCAGTTCCTGATGAAAAAGTTGGAACCTGTGACTCAGTTTGGGAAACTAAATCCATTGTATAAGATTCCACCTTTTTTTTATTATCAAACATGATCATTTAAAACGGTATAAAAAGTGAAATTTCTATAAGGTTTATTCTTTGCATCCTGTGTACGTGTGACTTTCAAATTTGGAGAGGGAAATTAAATTTTACTATGTATTATTTACTTTGGAGAAGCGTGCGATGGAGAAATAGGAGAAGAAAGTGGGTCGTTTGAATTTCCCTAGATGCACGTGTAAAAAGAAAGTAGGAGAAGGAACCCTTCGCTTCCCAATATAATGAACAATTAATGCATATAGGGAAGACGCGCTCAATATTTAATAATTAACGCCTAAGATTTATTGGATGAGGTCATCAATGGTGGATAGTGATCAAGGTTTGGGCGAGAAAAAAATATTAAAAAATTGGGCCTGAATTCTTTTGCTTTTGTATATACTATAGATATGCTCTAGAATAATTTTTATTTTTTACTCTGTATTTTTTTCGTTACTCTTTAGCTTAGTTTTTACACAACTTTTTTTTTACATTAAAAGAATTATTTTCTAAACATTTTCTTCGTCAGTTTTCAACTACTTCCTCCGATCCTAAAAATATGGGAGTTATTGATTTTTAAGAGATTTAAAGAAAATGTATTTTGGTATTGAATTTCCAAAAAAGTCTTTTGATGTGATGAGTAAAAGTAAGATTTGATGGGTAGATTATGAAAAAATAATGGGTAAAAATAACTTTTTATTAGAAATAAGAAGAATTTTTTTATATGAAAAAATTTGAACTATGGAACTACTCAATGTATGCAATTGGAATAAAAAAATTAAAAAATGAATACTTAAGATAGTCATTTTTTTCTTTTTTCCTAACAAAATAAATAAACCAATAAGTAAATAAATAAATAAATTTAATTTTTAACTTCAAGAATTATGGATTTGTAGTGGTTTACAAATTTTGATTTGCAAACCTCGAATATTTTGTTATTTTTATTTTGCAACGAATTTTTCCCCGTGCAACGCACGGGTATGAATCTAGTAAAATATCAAAATACATAGTATATTAGACCTATTACTGTATTGTATTTTGAATTCTAAACATTTAATATTGTACCATTTTTAAAATATATATAAGATGACTATCTGATAATAATAAAAACTTGTTTCAAAATATAGAATATCGAGTATAAGCTTTTATACTAAAAAGAAGTAAGAAAAAACATAACCTTGTTTTTATTACATTATTTTTCAAATTAAAATGCATGATTTTTATTAATTAGACTAGGCTTGACCTCACCGTCCCCATTAATGTGACCGCGTGGATGTCGGGGATCAGACCGGTAAGATTATTACTTGAAAACTTCCCGGGTGGATGACTTGAAGACTGGTCAACTTGAAGACTGCCTGGGTTAGGGGCGTACACCGGTCCAGAACCGGACCGAACTAGACCAGAACCAGAAAAACCGGAAACCCGGAATCCTCTAGAGCATAGGACCGGAAACCAGACCGGTTAGATTCCGATCCGGACCGGTCCGGACTGGTGTTTTCCGGTCCGGTCTGGGTAAAAATCGGAAAACCCGAAATTTTTTTTCTCTTTCTTTTTGTCTATTTTTTAAACTTGTTTTTCAATTTTGTACCTTGATTTGAATTGATTTCAACCCTACATTTATTTTTTATATAAATTGGGTGTGTTTCAAGAAATTATATTAATATAAAATATTTTTATCAACAATATAATAGGTGTAAAATGAATTTTATACTTTCGTTAGTTTTGAAATTTCAAAAATATTATAAAGTTTTACTTTAAATTATTTTGGTTTTAGCAAGTCTAATTTATACGTCAAAGTATTTAATACATTAAATCGAAAGATTCTACTTTAATTTTTGGGAAATAATTTTAATTAGTTTTTTATAATTATGGATATTCTTGGGTAAAGGTCAATGAAATGAATTAAAAAATATAAATTACATTTAAAAAATTACACTTCATATTAAAGTAAGAAGAACAAAAGAAAATATACAATTGTATTTATAATTATACGTAAACTTCGTATCATAGGTATTATCTTTTTTTTAAAAAAATAGACAATCCGGTCTTACTAGTCCGACCCGAAAACAATCCGGTCTTGGACTGGAATGGACCGGAATTACGACCCGGATTTTGTAAACCCTATCCTGGGTGGAAGACTTTAGGATTGGCCGAGTGAATGACTTGAGATGAACAAATAGTGTTAAACAGTGTATTTTCTATTATTATAAATAAGAGTGAATGCCTCATAAAGAAGGAGGCAATGAATAATCTATACTGCTTGTAAACTTGTAATCAGACTCTACATTAATAATAACTATCCGGTTTATATGTATTCCCACCTACAAACCTTTCTTTTTTGTGACTTAGGCTCCATTCCGTTCAACTTATTTTTTCTGATCTGATCTGATTCTAATAAGTTCTGATATGATCTGGTCTGATCTGATCTGATTGGATCTGATCTGATCTGATTGGATTTGATCTGATCTGATCTGATTGGATCTAATCTAATCTGATTGGATCTGATCTAATCTGGTCTGATCTGATCTCGTCTGATCTAATTAATTATGATTTAATTTAAAATTTCAAATCAATAATTTAATTTGACTTTATAATAACGTTTTAAAATTGTAATGATAATTCATATTATAATATAATCAATGTTTTTTATTTAATGATTATTTTTTAATAAAATAAAAATAGTTAATTCATGTATTAGAATAATCATTCATATTATAATGTAATAATATTTTTTATTTTATGATAATTTTTTTGTAAAATTAGAATTATACATTAGAATAAATATTTAATTTAGATATACATTAAAAAGTAATTAAATTTAGATAATCAATATATAGAAGAGATAGTATTTTTATTAAAATATCTCGTCCTTATAAAAAATCAAAAGTTTAGAAACTCAAATTACAAGTAGCAATAAAAATATATTTTAAAAGTAGAATTAGATTGACATTGTCAATGTATTTTAAAACTATTTTTTCCGACGTCTAATAATTAAGGATTACTTTCTCGGTTTTCTATTTAACCTATTTCTAAAGTTTATTCTTTTTCATTTTTAAGAACAATAATAATGATGATGATGATGATGATGATGATGATGATCATAATAATAATAATAATAATAATAATTCTTGATGAGACCTGATTTTAATAAGTCCTGATCTGATCTGATCTGATTTGATTGCATCTTATTAGATCTGATTTTAATAAGAATAAGAAAAAATAAGAAAAAATAAGTTGAACGGAACGGGGCCTTAGTTTTACATTGGTTTTACGCAATTTCAGATTATCTCATGACATTAATTTTAACTAGTATCACACCCGCGCGTTGCACGGGTCATATTTACGTTACTAAATTAAATTTTTCCTTCAACGGCCATATTTAAAAGTGCACTTGAAAGAAACTAATTACGAAAATCCTTGCAAATGATCGCATTTATACTATGAAAAGTTTTTGGCTTATTCTATTTTCCTTTTTCAAAATTTTTATTTTTAAAATTACAATGCAATATTTTTGGCCAAATTACACGGTTGGTGTTACTTACCATTTCAACATTCCTTTTTTAACTTAAATTTTTAATTATCAACGTGTATTTATGATTCTTTCTTACCAAACCGTATATAAGAAAAAACTTTATTTAAAATACCTAAAAAGTATAAATGGAAATACAAGTGTAATTTTAATTTGGATACTTTAAGATGTGAGAATATTTTTTTGTTCAAGGCAACGTTTTTTTTAAAGATAGTAATTTTTTATACATGGTACCCGCAAAAAAAACGTACCTTTTTTAATAATATTATTACATTGATTATAATGAAGTTACCTTATTTTAAATATGTATAAAGTAAAAAAAAAAGGAAAGATAATTATTTGTTGAAGTTACCTTAAATTTTTAATTATCAATGTGTATTTATGATTCATTCTTACGAAAGTCGTGCATAAAGAAATCACTTTATTTAAAATAACGAAAAAAGTATAAATGCAAACATAACTGTAATTTTAATTTCGATACTTTAAGGTATGATAATATTTTTTTTCAAGGCAATGCTTTCATGTTTTTTTCCAAAGACGGTAATATTTTATACATGGTAATCACGTAAAAGAAATCTACCTTTATTATTATTATTATTATTATTATTACGTTTCTTATAATGAAATTGCCTTATTTAAAATACGTACAAATTAAAAACAAAAACACCGATATTTTTTTATCGATATTTTTTCACACTATCATTTCCATTTCCAAACCTTTAAATTTCATTTATAATATATAATGTTGGACCAAATAATATTTGGTGTGAGAATACTTTTATTTACACGGTATCATAAAACGTATAAAAAGTACTCCCTCCGTCCTAAAACGTTCTTCTCAGTTTGACTTTTCACCATTTTTAATTTTTGGCTTTGACTTCAAATTTTACCCTCCTTAAAAAAGATTTTTTGAATTTTTTTACAATCATTCAATATATAGAGTTAAAAGATAATTGCTGTAAATACATGAGGGTATTAATATCATTTGTCATCTTTTTTTTTTCTAATGGAAAGGTAGTTTTAGGACGGAAAAAAAGGAGAAGTGGGAAGAACGTTTTAGGACGGAGGGAGTAATATTTATACTTTTTGTAAAAAGGTATTTAAAAGTTATACTTTTTATCCTCTGTGTTAATTATACTTTTTATAACACGGTACCATAATTAATATACTTTTTATAACACGGCATTAAAAATTTTAAGGTATGGAATTACACTATTAATGAAAATATATTACATGGGTAAATTAATTACCATAATTACCTTTTACTCGGCATTTGAATTTATTATACACGATACATTATAATTCATAAATATTTATTACTTTATACATGCCACTGTTGCATGTAACACTTACCTATTTATGTAAAGCGCTTCCCTTTTGTGATTGAAGACCATTTAGGTGAAAAACTGCAAAGGGGAATTCCCTTCTGTTTAAATATATCATACTCCCTTCGTCCTAAAACTTTCTTTCCACTTCCCCTTTTTCTCCGTCCTAAAACTACCTTCCATTAGAAAATAAGATGACAAATGACATTAATACCTTCATGTATTTACACCAATTATCTTCTAACTCTATATTTTGAATGATTGCAAAAAAAATTTGCAAAATATCTTTTTTAAGGAGGGTAAAATTTGAAGTCAACAACAACCCAGGTGAATCCCACAACAGTAGGGTTTGGGGAGGTGTGTGTACGCAGACCTTGCCTCTACTCGGAAGTAGGGAGGCTGTTTCCAAGATTAAAAATGGGAAAAAGTCAAACTGAGAAGAAAGTTTTAAGACGGAGGGAGTAGATTATAGATAGATGTGCCATTCTAAAACCATTTTTCTTGGTGCTATTTGCACGGTCAAACTTAACTTATTTTTTTATTATTTTAATTAGTTATTTGATAAAAAATATAATTATATTACCTATGATTTAGTAGCATCATATTTTTTTTAGTTTTACCCTTATAATCAAATAAGTTTAGTTTAAAATAAATTCGATCAAATAAGTTTAATTTAAAATATTCTATTACCTATAATTTTGTAGCATTAGTTTTGTCGAATGTCAACCACACACCCACGATTATTTACTAATATTTGTATTAAAGAGCGTAAATAATATAATATAATGTCGATAAGGGGATATGTTATTCTCAACACGACATTTGTCACTATTTATACAAAAAATCTGAAAAGGAAACAATTGTTTTTTAAATAAATATCATCGCATTTAACTGTGTAGTTACGTTCACGAAAATTTAGTTTACAAAATTAGAGGACATATTACTTTGTAGGTATAACTAATTAATTCATTTTAGTTTACAATATTTTGAAAATTTATTATATAATAATAATAATAATAATAATAATTTTATTATTATAAAATTGTTTGCTTAGGTTAGCAATTATTATTATTGTTAATTTTTTTTATAGAAACCAAGAATGGCACTGCAACACTTACCATTGATTAAATTAAAATGGAAACATATTAATTAGTAATTAATAGAAATTAAACCAAAAATAATGGCAAGTAATACTTACCATGTAAGGAGTCACACGAAACATATCATTCAATAGTATCCATATATGCTTCACATGTATTGAGGCAAGATAATTAAAGTACTAAACAGTTTCCATATATTAGCATCACGTATGGGCGGGAAAAAATTTCCCTTGCTTTAAGTATAGTATAGATAGATATAGATGTAATGTATACTTGTAATCAGACTCTACATTATTAATAGCTATCTGGTTTATATGTATTCCCACCTACAAACTTTTCTTTTTTTATGACTTAGGGGCTGTTTGGCAACTTCTGAATGGGTAAGTGCTGAACCATTTAGAGGTCTGAATCATTAAGTGCTGAACCAGTAAGAGGTCTGAACCATTAAGAGCTAGTATATTGCTTAACTATTCAGAGGCAAATGTCTGATCAATTCAGATAACAGCTCTTAACCATTCAGAATCTGTATAATACTTAACTCTTCAGAGGCAAATCTCTTAACCATTCAGACATCTGAACCATTAAGAGGCTGAAACAAACAGTCTGAACCATTAAGTGCTGAATCATTCAGACATCTGAACCATTATATTGGTTTTACGCCATTAGATTAATTTTGATGTAATGGAAACCTGTCCTCTTGAAAAAAGGAAATGGAAATTTGACAAGGAAAGGGCCTCTAAAGTAGAAATGGCAGTTGGAGTGGGGCGGGAGGTAAATTATAGTCTCTGAACAGTTTTTCGAGAATCAATAAGAAAAGACAGAAGTTGCCTCATAGATTCACACTTCCAAAAAGAATTTTCATTTTTTTAGAGAGAGAAACTCACCACACCATTCGCATTCCATTCTTTAGCAGCAGCTCCTGGAAAAGTCCTTCGTCTTTTCACTCACCGATTCAAGCCTTTTAGGGTTTTTGATTTCTGCAATCTCGCGCTGGAATCTGCCATTCCTGTTCTCCGTTCAACTCCCGCTGGAATCTGCAATTTCTGTGTAAGCTCGTCCGACTAAATCCTCCCCCATTGCCGTTTATCGATTTGGGTGTTTTATTGTTCAATTTTTATAGCAATTTAACTTCACTGCCGTTGTCTTGTTCGTTTTTTTCAGATTCTGATGTCAATTTTTTTAGATTTGTGTAATACGTGAAGAGATGAAGTTTTGATTGTGATTTGAGGGGTTTGGATGAACAAGGATGGAACAAGGGACTGAACATTTGTTATCAGCTAGGAAATCTCTGTTGACTAATTTGGAGAAATCGAAGGCGTTACATTTGTGTATTCAGGAAGCTGGCCCTAGGTTAGCTGAGATCAATCAACGCTTGCCGTCTCTGGAAGCGATAATCCGCCCGATTCGGGCTCCCAAAGATGCGCTTTCTGCCGTTGCGGGCCACATCAACCGTGCTGTGGTCCCTGCCACGGCTGTGCTCAAGGTGTTTGAGGCGATTCACGGGCTGGAGAAGTCTCTGTATGATCCCCAGTCGGATCTCTCCGGGTACTTGGGTGTCCTCAAGAGGCTCGAAGAAGCACTGTCGTTCTTGGGGGAGAATTGTGACATGGCAATTCAGTGGTTGGCTGACATTGTTGAGTACCTTGAGGACCACCGCATTGCAGACGGAAGGTTCACTTCCAGTTTGAAAGAGGAGCTGAGCAGGCTCCGCAAATTGGGAAATTTCGGCCTTGACGGAGGGCTTCTGAAGGTCGCTTTGGACAGATTAGAGAACGAGTTCCGGAGACTGTTGATGGAACACAGCATTCCATTGCCTATGTCAGATCCTCCATTGCCGGGTGAACGAGCATGTATAGCTCCCTCTCCTCTTCCAGTTTTTGTCATCCAGAGACTTCAGGCTATTCTCGTCCGCTTGATTGCCAATGATAGGCTAGAAAACTGCATTTCCATATATGTCGAGGTTCGCAGTTCAAATGTCCGGGCTAGTCTGCAGGTAGGGGTGTAAACGAATTGAATTATTTTGTTTTAGATGATATTTATATTTTTGTTCTTTTAATACTTGAACTTAAAATTTTGTTCATATTTGATATGACCTTGTTATTTGGGTACATTGGATTTGATTTGAGTATTCTTGTTCAAAATGCTTAAAAGTTCAAAGATTCCAGTATATGCGCACACACACAAGTTGAACTTGGTTAGTTTCAAATAGACCAGTATTTGTGTTCTATTTGGAAATTATTTTAGATCAAAATATATACGGAGTATTTGAATGATTTGGATTTGAATCACAATTATTTGACTCTTGTACAACCCTATTCATTGCAGGCACTTAACTTGGATTACCTAGAAATTTCTGTTTCTGAGTTCAACGACGTGCTGAGCATTGAAAGTCACATAGCTCAATGGGGCCGGCATTTAGAGTTTGCGGTCAAGCATCTTTTTGAGGCTGAATATAAACTTTGTAATGACGTGTTTGATGCGAGGTTAGGGTTGGACGTTTGGATGAGCTGTTTTGCTAAGATAGCAGCACAGGCTGGGATCCTTGCATTCCTTAAATTTGGGAAAACCGTTACCGAGAGTAAGAAGGATCCAATCAAGCTATTGAAGTTGTTGGATGTATTCTCGTCGTTAAACAAGCTGAGATTGGATTTTAACAGACTGTTTGGTGGGGCGGCGTGTGCCGAAATCCAAAACCTCACTAGAGATCTCATCAAAAGGGTGATTGTAGGTGCATGTGAGATATTTTGGGAACTTTTGCTTCAAGTTGAACTTCAGAGGCAAACATCACCTCCTCCGGATGGCAGTGTTCCAAAACTTGTTATCTTTATCACCGACTATTCCAATAAGTTGCTTGGGGATGATTATAAGCAAATCCTCACACAAGCACTTGCCATTGAAAGAAGCTGGAAGCATGAGAAATACCACGAGCAGCTTCTCATTGACGAGTTGCTGAATATAATAAATTCCGTTGAGCTGAATATAGAAACATGGTCAAAGGGATACCAAGATCACATTTTGTCATACCTCTTCTTGATGAACAATCATTGGCATTTGTACAAGCAATTGAAAGGAACCAAGCTGGGAGCCCTACTGGGAGATGTCTGGTTACAAAAACATGAACATAACAAGGACTTCTATTCTGACGCTCTTTTGAAAGAGAGCTGGTCAAAGCTTCCTGCCCTCTTGAGTCGGGAAGGTCTGATTTTATTCTCGGGCGGGCGTGCCACTGCCCGTGATCTCGTCAAGCAAAGACTTAAAGCATTCAATGAAGCTTTTGATGAGATGTATCAGAAGCAGTCAAATTGGGTCATTCTTGACAAAGACCTACGTGAAAAGGTTTGCCAACGTATAGTTCAGGCAATTGTTCCGGTTTACCGAAGCTACATGCAGAACTACGGGCCATTGGTTGAACAAAAAGATGGAAGTGCTAGCAAGTATGCTAAATACACTGTTCAAGCTCTGGAGAAGATGCTCAGCTCTCTTTTTCTCCCTAGGCCAGTCAGACATGGAAGCTTTAAAGTTCGAAGGACTAGTGGGAGATTCAACAGTATAAGCAACGGTCAAGATCCCAGTTCTCCTAGCATGAAATGAGAGGTCGAGGAATGGCTATCCATTGGCCACTTGTTGTTGTATATACTTAGTTCCTGAATTGGTTTCAATGCATATCAGGGGATTATTATTCTTCAAAGCTCCAAGAAATACTCACTATTGAAGATCATCAGGGAAAGAGAGCATATTCATTTTTATATTGGCCCGTCAGGTAAAACATGAAGTAAATGCCTAGTTAAATAGTTAATGCTATTATTCCAATTTTCCCCCTCATATTGTGATCGGTCTATTATTCAGTCAGCCACAAGTGGAGCAGTGGTACACTGATGGTCTGCATGTTTTGTGTTGCACCGAGAGCTTTAGCAGTAATACATCTCATTTTAGATTATGAAACAACGCTAGATTTATTTGTTCTTTGTGCCTCTAGCTGTATACAAAGCGTAGAACTCTCCATTCATATGTCAATTGTACTAAAGCCATGAATTTTAGGGCAATGGCCTAAATTAATAATCAATTCTTGCATTATTATGCACTGTTAATTGATTGCTTTGCTTATCATTAATCACTGCTGGATTGCTTGCTCGAATTTGATTTTCCTTATGCTTTTTGTTCCTTTTTTCTAATGTACTTATGGACCTTTGGAAAAATTACTTAGTTAAGCTAGGGACAAATAAAGGCTCAAGGTATGCCGGAATCATCCTTCAAGAGAATGATTGAAAGAACCTCTCATGTCCTCAGTTAAGGGTAACTTCATCAAATCCATAGTGTTTCTTGAATCATCCACTGCACGTTCTCACGCCCATAGCTTAAGTTAATTCAAATGTTATTGATTGCCAAAAGCCCCAAAATCAGGATTAGGTGCTCTTCCGGTTGCCCGTGTTCTAAAAAGTGCGGTGTTTGGGCACCCTCCCATTCAAGAGAAAAAACATAGATGTGGGGTTTGGTCATTAGTAGTTTCACTATTCTTAGTTGGGAATTGGGATAGATCATTACATGCAGATAGAATGGAATGTTTAAGGATAACTTTTACTATAGGAATTTCATTTACAAGAAACTGAGTCTGGTTTATGGTAAAGAATATGATCTACACATATGCTAATAAATGAAAGAAAAAGAAATGAATAGTACTGAGAACACTCTGAGTGTGAGTTGAATATAAAGAATGTTTTGAAGTATTGGAGCTAACTTGAGTTCATGTTTTCTTGTTGGGTTGGAAGACATACTTGATGAGGGATTCCTTAATAGGCAACAGCTGAGGGAACTCTTTCTCAAGCTTTGTCGTGTCCATCTCGTTGTTACTTCTGGCAGCAACGATCACCTTAGCTTGTTCGTCCAAGCTGAAGTTCTCCCACTTGAACCCGGGCTCAATGTAGTCCCGATACATCTCTAGAATCTCGTTGTGGCTTATTGCTCCCGGGTTGGTGAAGTTCCATACCCCTCGGCAGTTCCGCTTTGCCATCTCTATGGATATGGGCAGCAGCTCGTCGAGCACGGTCATGCTGTTCGGTATGTTCACCACTTTGTTGTACCGTGCGATCTTAGTTATGAAGTTGCGTGGGTTGGTGAGATCCGACGAGATGGGCATCCGAACTCGTAGGGTGCACACGTTGTCATATTCTCTTAGGAGTTCCTCCACCTACATACACACATACATACATGTGAATTCAAAAGTTGATACTTAAAAACTTTTTCACAAAGCTGTAGTAGTATCAGCCTTGGTGTCATTGAAGCAAAAAAAACAAAGAGGAAAAAGTGAGTGATATACCATGGCTTTGGTCTTGGAGTAGAAGGAACCCATGAAATTAGGTTTATCATCCTCCTTGAACCCAACCCCAGACCCCATAGGGTGGTTCTCATCATACTCAAATATGCAACCAGTTGCAAAGTTCATCATCAAAAGCCCCTCCTCTCTACACACATCAGCTAGGGTTAGAGTTCCCACCACATTTGCCCTTATGGTCTCAACCCTGTGGGTCTCACACCAATCCACATTAGGCCTCCCGGTGACTCCCGCCGCGTTGAACACGTGTGTCGGCCTCACCCTCGCCACGTCAGACATCAACGACCTCCGGTCCTGCAACCGGCCCGACCCGTATTCGTACGCTATCTTGCCTTGCTGGCACAGCTTCCCCAGCAATCCCCCGATCCAACCCCTTTTGCCGTAGATCAAGAACTTGAGGCCCGGTCGGTTGTAGTCGTGTAACGGGATGGTCGTGGAGATGCTAGGGTGGGGGTGGAGGGCGGCCGTCACGTCCCCCCACCAGTCCGGGTGTTTTTTGTACCATTCCAGGGTTTGTTTCAGTCCTTCCTCCCATGAGGTCTTCTCCTTCCACCCTAGCTCCTTCAGTTTTTTATCATCCAAGAAGTACCTAAGCAAGGATCATCAATAAAGAAATATAATTAATTTTTCACACATTTGTATATGGGGAAAGAGTTAGGCTCCGTTTAGTATACAGAATTCAAACTATGAAATTGGAATTGGAGACAACATTTCTAATTCTATTGTTTGGTAGCACAAAAATATGTGGATTTGGAATTCGTAGTGCCGAAGATGAATTGAAATTGGAGAGTTCAATTTCATCCAAATCAATTTCATAAAATTTCAACTTTCAATTCAATTCTAATTTTGTCAATTTCATGTACCAAACGGACCCTTAGAGAAGATTCAATTGTGACTGAGAATCGGTATATGGTGTATGGAGATTTGATTAGCCCACAAAAAAAAACCTTACCTATTGATAGGTTTATCAGGAGTCTGGACTCGGTCAATATACCCGGTCAATTGTTATTGTCAGTGTTTACATTTTTCATTTGTATTTAGGCTTATGATGCTCAACCCATTTAATACATCATGGGAAGCCCATATTAGGGGAGTCGCCATAGCAGCCCGGCCCGGAAGTAAGGCTGAAGCGTATGCGATATGGGCCGTGAGCGAACTTACACGAAAGGAAGCCTAACCCTTTGGTTGTGGCTAGAAAGTGTTAAGTACAGATAATAATAAAGAATGAAGGGAGTATTCAGTCACGGAAAAAAAGGAAGTAAAAAATGATCTCCCAAAGACTCCAAAAGACTACCTTTTATCATTGAACGGCCGGTCGTGAACGAACTCTATTGCTTCCTCCGATCTCCGGCCGAACAGCTGGCAAACATCCTCCGCCACGTCGACAACGCGCCGCTCCTTCCGCGTCCCGATGTTGTAAACGTTCCCGATCACGCCTCTGTGGAGGATCACGTCGAACGCCTCCGCCACGTCATCAGAGTATAGGTAGCTCCGGGCGTTGTTGCCGTCGCCGTGGATCGGGAGCCGCTCGCCTCTCATGGCGAGGAGGATGAACTTGGGGATCAACTTCTCCGGGAACTGGTTCGGCCCGTAGACGTTGTTGCCCCGCGTGGTGATCGTCGGCATCCCGTACGACCTGTGGTACGCCATCACCAGCATCTCCGCCCCGGCTTTTGTGGCGGAGTACGGATTCGTCGGGAGGAGGCTAGACGCCTCCGGGTTCCCGACATCCGTCTCCAGATCCGTCTCCCCGTACACCTCGTCCGTGCTGACGTGGATGAACCTTCGCACGCCGCCGGTGACCTTGCATGTTTAGGATCTCATAGTTAGCATTTTACTTAATTTTTTAAGGGTATCGCTATTGCCACTCCCAGCTAAATCTACCATATTTATGTTAAACAGACAAATTTACCCTTTACCCTCAAAAGTTGGCTAACATCTGATATCTTTTGTGTGTGTTCTAAGGGCATATTTGTCCATTACATTATAAATGGAGTGAATTTAGCTATAATAGGGGTGGAGATTATGCCCCGTCTGGTATCAGCGTTAGCATTTTTAAAATTAATCTATACTATTAAAATTTTATCTAAAATACTAACGCTAATTGAATATATTAATCTATACTATTTTTTGTGTTTGAAATAAAAATAAAAAAAATTAACATACAGTACATCTATTTGAAATTAAACATTTTTACTTTTTGTTACGCAGTTATTTGGAAAGTTCAAAAAGAAAAACCTAGAATAAAAAAATAAAAACATGGAAAAATAAAATGAAAAATAAAAATACACAAAAAAAAGTCTGATACAAAAAAATGGACAAGGCTAAAAAAGTCCTTAGAATTGAGATGTTCGAAAAAGATATTCATTTTTATTTTTGTATTATTTTGTTTCTTATTTTATTCCTCATTTTTTGAAATTCTCAAAAAAAAAGTTTACTTTTTTCAGAAAAAACAAAAATTGTTGATTTAAGACGTACATATATATTATATGTTAATTTTTTTAAACAAAAATAACTTTAAATTTTATGAAAATTATAAAAATAATTTTAAAAAAACCTTTATTAATAAATGAAACAAATAAAGGAAAAATGGAAAAAACAAAAAAAATGAGCGAGAAATAAATATTAACACTGATACCCCGTGTGGTTTAGTAAATATGCACCAATGCCTCCCTTCTTCGTCGGCAAAATTGCTGGAAAATGATCAGAGGGGGCACGGGTGCAGTATTTTGAAACCACAAAGACTTTAGAAATAAGTTTTGAAAACAGGGGGGGTTTTGATGCCTATTTTGCAAACCACAGTGGGTACTGGCGCCTCATAAATAAAATAAGTTTTTGAAATTATTATTTTCCAAGATAGGGCGCATCTTTGGTGTATTTTGGGTGCATATTATTTTTATGGATCTTCTCACACAAATTTTTTTTAATATTTTTGTATAAAAAATTGTTTATTTAAGTAATAAAAAATATTTATTTTACTTTTATGGAGATTCATAATGAACCTTGGGTCCGACCTTGTCTCCGAAAATAAAGTCTAATGACGTCTTTTATTACGAGTGATATTTACATAACTTTAGATCTTGAGAAGAATTTACTTTTTTTTATTGCGCGTAGTATGGAACGCCGTTTTTATTCAATTTGCAATCAAGATTTATTAAATTAAACCGGGAAATGTACAAACAGACTGAAATAGAATTAGTTTTTAAAAACCAACCTTGCAGGCCTCGAGAAGAACGTGAGTGCCATAGATGTTGTTCTGGGTGAACTGGAACGAGTTACCGAACGAGTTGTCGACGTGAGTCTGCGCCGCGAAGTGCATGACGGTGTCAAACCTCTCCTCCGGGAGGAGGTAGTTGATGAGATCGGCGCTGGTGACGTCGGCCTTGACGAATCTGAAATTGGGGGCGCCGAAGCTAGGGTTCAGATTCCCGAGATTGGAGCAGTAATCGAGCTTGTCAAGCCCCACGATCCTGTAATTCGGGTACTGTTTCACCAGGCGGTTGGTCACGTGGGAGGCGATGAACCCCGCAGCGCCGGTGATCAGGATGTTCCCGGGGACGTACGGCGGCGCATCCTCTTCCCCTGTCGATCTCATCGTCTGTGGATCGAAGGTGAAAACAAATGAAATTGATTTCTTCTTCTTCGAGCTGTGATGGAAATGGAGCTGGTATATCGGAGCGCAGCATTCTGTTAGAGAGAGAAGAGGGTCTTACTGTGAACGTGTAGCGTTTCCCGCATTTCTTTGCATTTTATCTTCCGACGATGGTTCACTTAATATAACCAAATTGAATGTTTTTCCTTTGCCTACTCAATTCGTCCACTTTTAACTTTTTTCAATCGTCCAGTTTTGACTTTTTTCAATCGAATTGTTTTTAATATTTGATCTAAAATTAAACAAAATATTTATTTATGTAAATAAATTATTTATTTTATTTAATTAGATTAAATAATATTTTAAAAAGTTTTTATATAATAAATCTAATCAAACCATTTTTGTATTAATATCTAACATCATTTTTATTTAATTTGAGGTCAAAGTTTACTAATTTTGACCAAAAATAATATTTGAAATTTTGTATACCACGTGAAATGTCTTTTAAATGAGAAAAGAGAAGAATATTTTATTTTATCAGATAAATAATGAAAACGTATAAATAAATAAATCTTCTCGTAATTTTAAAATGGCGCACTGTGAAATTTTTTTAGGCCGAAGAAATATTACAAATCTCATACTGGGTTCGGGAGTTGCAACCCCAAAATTCGTAACAACTTCTTGGCAATAATATTCCTCCATGTGTTTTGCTAAGATCCAGTTCAATACTTCCTTGGCTGCCATTGTCTCTGCCTCTCGAGCATCAAATATTAGAATCTTTAATGCAAACATTTAAATGTCTCTGTGTGTGTATTCCGGTAAGAATGAGATTTATGAAAAAAAATAAGAATGCATATGGTGTTTTAGAACGTGAGATATAAGAGGCCATGATAATTTGAAAAATAAGAAAAACACGGTGGCAATTTTCTAACCAAATCAGACTTTGTTAAATGCACTACGTACTTTGAAAAATGCACCATAACGATCTACCATTTTTTTAAATGCATCATCGATGAACAAAAATGCATCATTCTCATTTCTTTTACCAATGTTCATTCTCACATGAACCGACTCATATACAGTGGCGGAGCCAGAATCCAACACTAGTGGGTGCAAAGTAGAAGAAGATATCCGTGTTTAGCGGTTATCAAAGATCAGAGACATTCAAATAAGAATCAGTCTCACAAGCATTTTGTCGAACACATGATCTACAATAATATATATATACATAAAACTTCATGATCAATAAAAATCCATTGCAATTTTCTTCGATCAATAATTACCATTGACATGTTGAAATCACAGTACTCTTCTTTTCAAAGCCTAAACAAGAAACATAGTGCTGTTGTACAGTTCTTCTGCCTTGGATGAGAAACAAATGAAAGCTAATACAGTACGGAGTATTAAAAAAGCTAAGTGGGGAGTGACTGCAATTGCAGTCATTTGCTCCCACTTGGCTCCGCCCCTACTCATATATAGAGTTTTGTGTCGAGCTTCCCTTCGATTCGGTTGTTGCCTCTCTTTCCATCCAATTCGATGGCTGTATTAGAAACTGTAAAAATAACAAATAATGCTTTATAGCTTGAATAATAGAAGAGGAATACAAAGTATGTATTTATAGGTGGATGAATATATTCTAGAATCCTCCACATTAATGGCTAAATATAAGTTAATATTATATAATAATAACTCTAACTATAATAGGTAACAACCATAATTATAATTTATAATATTAAATATATTAAATAATTGATATATTTAACATGCTCCCAATGTCCTGAACGGTGAAGATTGAACGCCCAACTTTACTTGAATCGTGACCAGAATTGTAATCAGAAGCTAGAGGCATATCTTCGGCTAGAGTAGACTTAATGCATCCGGTCTAGAAGAGAAGAATAAAGATTGCCAGGAAAGAGATGTGAAGGCGCTGATGAGGAGAAAAGTCGCTGCGAACAGACTCATGTTGCTAACGTCGAAAGAGATAGAAGGTTGACGCGCTGGAGTCGTGCGCGACTGGGTTAGCGAAGAAACGCAAGGAATGAGGTACTGCCGGAGATGCATGTTGACCGAAGATCTACCCACTAATTGTGCCTCATGTTACTCTCGAGTGAACAGGTGCAATCTTGGCGCCATGAGAGGCCGGTAGTTTGGTTGGTAGTTTGGTGGAAAAGGAGTTGATTTAGACCTCTTCTTTTTTTTTTTAAAGTCGTTGGACAACAAAAAAACTAGAAAACTTTGTAGTCTTGGGAGATGGTGATAGATCTGGAGCCAGATAGAGGAGTATGGCAGATCATTATTAGAGGACCAAGTGGGAGTGAGGCCACCGTCGCCGGATATATCACCGGCGACGGCGGCGGATGAAGCGGAATGTATTAGGTCACCAAGAGCGAATGCTCTGATACCATGTAAAAATAATAAAGTATGCTTTATTGATTGAATAATATAAGAGGAATACAAAGTATGTATTTATAGGTGGATGGATGTATTCTAGAATCCTCCACATTAATGGCTAAATATAAAGTAATATTATATAATAATAACTTTAACTATAATAGGTAACAACCATAATTACAATATATAATATTTAAATATATTAAATAATTGATATATTTAACATGCTCCCAACATCCTGAACAGTGAAGATTGAACGTCAACTATACTTGAATCGTGATTAGAATTGTAATCAGAAGCTAGAGGCATATCTTCGGGTAGAGTAGACTGAATGCATCCGGCCTAGAAGAGAAGAAGAAAGATTGTCAGGAAAGAGATGTGAAGGTGTTGATGAGGAGAGGAGAAAAGCCGCTGCGAACAGACTCATGCTGCTGACGTCGAAAGAGAGAGAAGGTTGACGCGCGCTAGAGTTGTGCGCGACTGGGTTAGAGAAGAAACACAAGGAATGAGGTACTACCAGAGATGCATGTTGACCGAAGATCTACCCACTAAGCAGGTCGAGGTGATGATCTTGGCGCCAGTAGTTTGGTGGAGTAGGTGTCGCCGGTCAGAGCTGCGGCGCTTAGGAGAAGAGGATGGCGTTAAAGATGCCGGTGATTATAACAGAGTTTTTTTGTATAACAAAAAAACTAGAAAACTTTGTTGTTTTAGGAGATGGTGAAGAATTTGGGTCAGAGGAAAACAGTGATCCGGCGGGCGGCAGTTAATGGCGGTGCCGCCCGCCAGAAGCGAAAGCGGAGAAATTTTGGTCACCAAGAACGGTGGCTCCGATACCATGTAAAAATAACAAAGTATGCTTTATTGATTGAATAATAGAAGAGGAATACAAAGTATAATAGAAGAGGAATACAAAGTATGCGGTATTGCCGGATGTACGGTATAATTTGCATTCAAGTGATGTTGTGGTAAAAAGAAAAAAGTGATGAGTTTGAAATCAGGAGCAGCGAAGCCATGTAGATGTAGGTTTGGTTTTGACGGTTCGGTTTTCACCTAAAACCAAAGACAAAACGAAAGGTAAGTTAACGATTTGGTTCGGTTTCGCATAAAAAATATAAACCGTTGGTTATTCGATTCGGTTTTATGCCGTTTTTATTTTGGTTTTTTTCAATTTTTCGCTTTTTAAAAGCAAAACTCATAAGCATTAAAAAGTTGTAAAATACTAATTCGATGGAACAATAACAATATGTAGGGTTGGGTTCAGTTTGATTTTTACATAAAACCAAAAATCGAACGACATGTTAGAGTTTGGTTCGATTCATTTTTACGTAAAAAATATGTATAGAGTGTCCAACAAACATCTAAAAGCTTCCAAATAGTCCCAAAGCTTTTGTACGTGAATAACAATTACAGAGAATTTGCGTTTTTGGTATAATATTTTTATTTCTGTTATAGCATCAAAGTTTTCTCATCTAATTAAATATATAAACTATTCAGATCGAATGTTGACGTTAATATAATTCCATATTAGGATTAATTATAATTCCATAATTGGTCCTTTGTAACATGGGGTTCTCATATTTAGTCATCTATTATCAAATATTACCGTCGTCATTTTTTTAAGGGTGCCTTTCCACAAATGATCCTTTTTTGATTTTCGGCCATGTGAGTATTAATTTAAAGGCTAAAAGTATAATTTGACATCAACATTATGTCTAGTGACGTGTTCTGACATTGGTTAAGCGAATAACACAAAAATAATGACTATGATTGTGGACTAGGACTCTAACGGAAGATCACATTTGTAGATCATGGTTGTATTAGAAAGCGAATGTAATTCACAAACGTTGCAAATGGAACAACCTTTAGAATTGAATGTGTATGACAAAAAAGATATATTATTATTGTGAAATGGTAACAAAAAAGAACCTTTAGCATTGTATGCAAATGGAACAATCTTTTAGCACTCAAATTAATTCCAACATAATAGAAGATAAAAAAAACTATTTGTGGAAAGATATCCATAAAAGAATGACCACTAGGGTAATATTTGATAATAGAGTACTAAATAGAAAAATCCCGTGCTATAAAGGACCAATTATGAAATTTATTCTTTATATTTCTAGGCTTTTTAAAAGTTTATAATATGCTTTACAATCTTTAATAGTTAAGAAAAATTAAATTAATTGACTAATCAATTATTTACATTTATATTTTTATGATTTTTTTCAGAATAAAAAACTAAAATTGAAGCCAAACAATAACAATTCAGTACATTATTTTTAATTCATTTTTTTTCTAGCTCGTTTTAATCGATTTGGGTTGGAATTGTGATTTGATGCTATTAGACGCAGCCCTAAAGCCACAGCCCTGTTCAAGGACGCAAAAGCCCCGTTTCTCCTGCCATTGGGCCCTTCCAATAATTAACTTCTCCACTTCAACTTGCCTTCACCCTTCTCTGCCATTTCCATTTTCCATATCCTTTTTGTATACCGCCGTCCGCCCTGACTGACACTTCTCGTTAAACCCCGTAAGAATCCCTCGCCTTCAATTTCTTCTGTAATTGATCATCAGAGAGAGCAGAGGGAGCAGCGCAAGATTGTGAAAAAATGGGGCATTGTTTGAACCATAGCTGCGAGAGTGTAGTTTCTAAGCTGATTTCTTCATCATCTTCAACCTACTACGCCTTTCCCCGTTCTTCCAAGTCCCGTTTTCTGAAATCGGGTGCTTTTCCGTCGCGCATCCGGTTCGGGGAGGAGAGAACGGGGAAGAAACCTTCGCGTTCGGGTTTTGGATCTCGGCCATGGGTTTTGCAATCGGGTTACCGGGTGAGCCCTATTCGGTCCGAGCAGGGTTTGGATGCTTCGTGGAATTGTTCTTATGCGCAGAAGGCTGGGAAGAGGACGGATATAAAGAGGATCTTGATACTGGGTGCTGGTCCCATAGTGATAGGGCAAGCTTGCGAGTTTGATTATTCTGGGACTCAGGCATGTAAGGCACTTAGGGAAGAAGGGTATGAGGTGATTTTGATTAACTCTAATCCTGCCACTATCATGACTGATCCGGATATGGCCGATAGGACTTACATTGAGCCGATGACCCCAGAGCTAGTTGAGCAGGTGCTAGAGAAAGAGAGACCGGATGCCCTGCTGCCCACCATGGGCGGGCAGACTGCTCTTAACCTCGCCGTGGCATTGGCCGAGAGTGGGATTCTTGATAAGTATGGTGTTGAGTTGATCGGGGCGAAACTCGATGCAATCAAGAAAGCTGAGGACAGGGATCTGTTCAAGCAGGCCATGAAGAACATTGGGCTAAAGACACCTCCTTCCGGGATTGGGACCACCCTTGAAGAGTGTCTTGAGATTGCTAATTCTATAGGGGAGTTTCCCTTGATTATCAGGCCAGCCTTTACATTGGGTGGGACGGGAGGAGGGATTGCTTACAACAAAGACGAGTTCGAATCCATATGTAAATTAGGGATAGCTGCTAGCGTGACATCCCAAGTCTTGGTTGAGAAATCTTTGTTAGGGTGGAAGGAATACGAGCTTGAAGTGATGAGAGATTTGGCAGATAACGTGGTCATCATTTGTTCTATTGAGAATATTGACCCGATGGGTGTGCATACGGGGGATTCTATCACTGTTGCCCCTGCTCAGACATTGACAGATAAAGAGTACCAACGTCTTCGGGATTACTCAATTGCTATAATCAGGGAGATTGGGGTTGAATGTGGGGGTTCGAATGTACAATTTGCAGTTAATCCTGAGGATGGAGAGGTAATGGTGATAGAGATGAATCCAAGGGTTTCGAGATCTTCGGCTTTAGCCTCAAAAGCTACTGGTTTCCCAATTGCCAAGATGGCTGCAAAGCTCTCAGTTGGGTACTCATTGGATCAGATCCCTAATGATATCACAAAGAAGACTCCGGCAAGCTTTGAACCTTCCATAGATTATGTTGTTACAAAGGTAAGGTCTTTTTTCCTTGTTACTGTGCTTTTCAACTTTAAAAAACGTATATCTTATTGCTACTGTTGATGCTTTATATGAACAAAATTTAAGTCTTTTGCTTAGTGCATGCATCAACAAGCATTCTAACTGCTGTGGTTGTCCTGTTTGAAATTGATTATTTTAACATTTTGGTTTCTTCTCTTTGTCCATGATGACTCAACAAAAGCATCCATTTTGAGCAAGGTTTAAACAGGCTACTCTGGGTATTAAGGCGGGTTGTTTCAGAGAGGCGTGGTGTAAGCTTCAAAATATACAAACAAATACGGAGTAAATTATTTGCAAGTTAACTACTAACTACTGCTAAAGACTTGCATGATCGTAAGCTTCAAAATATACTAGTGACATGCATCATAAATTCACAACCCCAGATTAAATCTAAACAAACACCCCCGGCAGAATATAGAAATCTTGAATATGTCTACATAAAAAACAGTTAAAGCTAGTTGCTAGTTTAGAATGCATAAAAAGTTAAAAATATAAGGTAGAAAGTTGTAAAAAAATTCATGTCCAAAAGGATCAAAGAAAAGAGAATCTCTGATAGTTACCAATTTTAGTATATGAGCCTTATTACCATTTTTTAAAGGGCAAGTGAGGCATATGCTACTTAGTTGATTAGGCGTAAGCTGTTAAAAAATGCCCATAAGGCTTAGGCTTTTGTTACCTTAAACGAGGCTTGCTCCTTGCGGTGTCCAAGGCACAAAGATGTGAGGTGCGAGGCTTAAAGGCGTTGAGGCTTGTCAAGGCTTAGGCCTTAAATCTATGGGGGGAAATCTGTAGCCATGTCATCTTTAGAGCAGGTTAGTTATTAAAGCATACTGGGCTATCAAGCTAGTGTGTGGTTGTGCCTCAGTCCCTTGAGATACGCCCCTAGTTTGGCCCTCTCTTTTCTTTTCCTTTTTTATAGCAATTTACCTGTCTTCTTTCATCATTCATCCCTTACAGTTATGATACTAAGAGCGTGCCTCTTCATTTTTCCATCTTCATCAATAAAGGAGCGGTTATTCTAAAAATAGTAGTACTAATACTAACCAAGCAGTTTTTAGTCATCTCAAATCGAACTTTTCATCTCCATTTTTCTGTAAATGTTGTTTTATGCTCTCTCTTCCTCTCTCTCTTCACTATTTTCCCTTTCCTACTTCAGATATCCTTTTCACTCTTGTACAATAACCCATCTGCCCTTTCTAAGTAACTTGCTAAATGGTCTAAATGAAGATAATACTTCTCATAATATTGACAAATTTAGATAATAATGCAATGACGGAGCTATTTCAAATTTACATACACAGAATATTTAGTTTTAAGCATGTTTTATGTTTTTATTATGGGTTGGCATGCATATTTTATCATGTATAGTGTATTGACTTATTGTTTTCTCATTTGTGTTTATATTGCAACATCTCAAATTTTTATGTCAATGAACTATCATTTTAAATAATCTATTCTACCATATTTATTTGTCATTTGATTCATATTTAAATTTCATTTTCCTTTTTTGCAAGTCTCATTATAACCCTACATTTTCTTTTACGGTCTATTTTGGAACTAAAATTTGAATTTCAATTCATATTTGAACCAAATTACATGTTTGGGATTCAGATTCCTAAGAAAATTTGGATTTGGGCCAAATTCTCTAATTCCCAACAAATCTCAATTACAAATCCATACTCCCCATGGTAATTTGAAATCCAAGAATTCAAATGAATTCCTTGTGTCTAAACACTACCTTAAAGAAAAAATATGTGGCTCTAATCTTTTTCTCTTCTAAACAAATGCCGACTATGCTTCACTTTCAACACGTTGGTTAAACTGCATGCCAGGTGAAATCGAACACTTAAATAGGGACGTAGGGGGTATCCTTTATGCTCCCCCCGTCCCTAACTAATTGGCACAGTGTGATTGTACATCATTTAAGCAAAGTATTGAAAAGTAAAAAGTGAGTGGTTGAAATTTGTTTAAAAGAATACAAAAATTGTGGGCCACATATTTTTAACTTTATTAGGAAAGTAAAAGTGTGTTACGATTTTTTTTGGGAAGATTGAAAATGTAAGTACAACAACAAGAACAACCCTATTGAATCCCGCAAGTGTAGGGTGTGGGGAGGGTGAGTGTACGTAGACCTTACCCCTACTCAAAATTAGGAGACTGAATACGTAGACCTTACCCCTACTCAAAATTAGGAGACTGCCTTAAGGTCTAATTCTACCTTCCAAAACCTTGCTTATTAGTTGGAGTCTCACAGCTCAAAGAAATTACAACAACCCAGTAGGATCCCACGTGAGTAAGGTTACGCAGACCTTGCCCCTACTCGAAAGTAGAGAGGCTCTTGAACTCCTCACATCAAGAAGGGCCTCAAGACACGCATCTTTAGGGCCTTTTTGAATCGTTCTTAAGTCTAACTTTTAATATTACATTGAACGAAACAGGATTACAGGAAACCCATGGCCTCAATTGCATTTTCTTATTGTACTGCACTTCTCCAGAGATGATACTTATTTTAGCCTAGGCTGCTAGCTTGATTCTCTGGGAAAGGAAGTTATGGCCAAAGTGTATTGCTCGGAAATATTTATGATGCTGCATGTGTTTCGCATGCGGCATACCAAAACTGTTTGCCGATGTTGTATTAGTAAAATTGTAAAATTTACTAGCGGTAACAAAATTCAAAATTATTTTCCCCATTCGAGGCTCTATAGAGATAGATGCATAAGGTATTTTCTATACCTGAATACGACAACGACAACAACAACAACAATACTCCCGTCAGCCAGTGCTTCAAAGGCTCCCGCTCAATGCAGGGTAACGGGGTGTCGGATGAATGGAGTTCCCTATGTTTAAAACATAAAGCGGCTGTTTTTCAGATGACCCATGATGAACGTAGAAAGATGCATTGACCAACTGCACTTCACTATTAAAAGAAGCACAGACAGTTTGAATGGCCATTTTGCTTTATTCCATCATACCCCAAAGCCAAAAAATAGTGAATCTTTGGCTCCATCAGAGATTTTGGAAAAAATTTCTATACCCGAATATGTGTGTGTGTGTGTAATCTTCTCGCTTTCTTGCAGTTTCCTTTATCTAATCTCTTTGTAGTCTGTGTTTTATTAATTTTTCTTTTAACAATAAAATGTATATTGGGCAGATACCCAGGTTTGCTTTCGAGAAATTTCCTGGATCAGAACCAATCCTGACAACTCAAATGAAGTCTGTTGGTGAATCCATGGCTATGGGCAGAACATTTCAAGAATCATTTCAAAAAGCTCTCCGATCTTTAGAATGTGGTTATTCTGGGTGGGGTTGTGCAACTGTTAAAGAGCTGGACTGGGATTGGGACATATTAAAGTACAGTCTTCGAGTCCCTAATCCCGACCGCATTCATGCCATATATGCAGCCATGAAAAGAGGAATGAAGGTTAATGACATTCATGAGGTCAGTTACATTGACAAGTGGTTCCTTACACAACTTAAGGAGCTTGTAGATATTGAGCAATACCTTTTGGTTCACAATTTGTCAACCTTGACAAAGGATGATTGGTATGAAGTGAAAAAGAGAGGGTTTAGTGACAAACAAATAGCTTTTGCATTGAAATCCACTGAGAAAGAAGTCCGTTTGAAGCGTCTGTCGTATGGCATCAAACCGGCATATAAGAGGGTTGATACATGTGCTGCCGAATTTGAGGCTGATACTCCTTATATGTACTCGACTTATGACTTTGAGTGTGAATCAGGTCCCACAGAAAGGAAGAAAGTTCTGATTTTGGGTGGTGGACCAAACCGGATTGGACAGGGAATTGAGTTTGATTACTGCTGCTGCCATACGTCTTTTGCCCTTCAGGTCCGTGCTTTACTTTTCCGCTCAGAAAATTTTCTGACTCTCTTGTCTTTGCCCTACATTTTAGAAAAACTTGGGATTTTACTAAAAGGGCTTGTTTGATTGGGGGGTTTTGGTAGGAGATGAGGGAAAAGGAGGATTGATCTTTTCTTTACTTCGAGTAATTTATCACTAATCTTCAGTTGTAAAAAAAAAGTAACTATAAGTTTAGTTAAACCATATGTTTTGATATGATTTTTCATTCGCTTTCTTTCCAACCATATTTTTTTTATAAAGATTAAAAAATACCCCTCCCTTTCCCTCATCCCCTACGAAATCCCCCAACCAAACAGGGGCTAAATGATATCATGTAGACTCCGCAGATGAACTTTTGAATTTGCATCCTTCATTGAATCATGGCTTTGGATTATTTCCATATCAGTCAACAAGTTAGAATTGCAATGACCGCGGAAGCTCAAGTCTTGACAGCATTAATTCATGAGTTCAAATTTCGAAAGATTTTTCTGTATTATAGAGAGTTATAGTGCCATTAGGCTTGTTATTCCATGGTATTTGTGTTTAGAATATCAAATCAGACACATAATGATGCCATGTATACAGGATGCTGGGTATGAGACAATAATGATGAATTCAAACCCGGAGACAGTGAGTACAGATTATGACACGAGTGACCGTCTCTACTTTGAACCCCTCACAGTCGAAGATGTCCTCAATGTCATTGACCTGGAAAGACCCGATGGCATCATTGTCCAGTTTGGTGGTCAAACCCCATTGAAACTTGCACTTCCCATCGAGCGATACTTGGATGAAAACAAACTCAAGTCCAGAAGTGGTGGGGATGATGGCTATGTCCGTATCTGGGGCACCTCACCTGATTCCATAGATGCTGCCGAGGACAGGGAAAGGTTTAACATCATCTTGAACGAACTACAGATCGAGCAACCAAAAGGCGGGATTGCCAAGAGCGAGGAAGATGCTCTTTCCATTGCGGCGGATATTGGGTATCCGGTTGTCGTCCGGCCTTCTTATGTCTTGGGCGGTCGTGCAATGGAGATTGTTTACAGTGACGACAAGCTTGTGAAGTACCTTGAAAATGCTGTCGAGGTGGACCCCGATCGCCCGGTTCTGATTGACAAGTACTTATCCGATGCTATAGAGATTGATGTTGACGCACTAGCTGACTCACACGGTGACGTGGTGATTGGTGGGATCATGGAGCATATAGAGCAGGCCGGGATCCACTCCGGCGACTCCGCTTGCATGCTTCCCACTCAAACCGTTTCGTCGTCGTGCCTCGAGACGATCCGGTCGTGGACCACGAAACTAGCTAAGCGGTTGAAAGTGGTTGGGCTCATGAACTGCCAGTACGCCATCACGGCTTCGGGCGACGTTTTCTTGCTCGAGGCCAACCCGCGGGCGTCGCGGACCGTTCCCTTCGTGTCCAAGTCGATCGGTCACCCGTTGGCCAAGTACGCGTCTCTTGTCATGTCCGGGAGATCCCTCCGCGACATAAACTTCACCGATGAGGTCATCCCGGGGCACGTGTCGGTCAAGGAGGCGGTCCTCCCGTTCGAGAAGTTCCAAGGGTGTGACGTGCTGCTGGGCCCCGAGATGCGGAGCACGGGTGAGGTCATGGGCATACACGCCGAGCCATCAATTGCTTTCGCTAAAGCACAGATCGCCGCCGGGCAGAGGTTGCCGCTAGAGGGGACACTGTTCCTCAGCATGAACGACCTGACGAAGCCACACCTCGTCACCATAGCCCGTGCTTTTCTCGGGGTCGGGTTTCGGTTGGTGGCGACTTCCGGGACCGCGCACGTGCTGGAGATGGAAGGGGTCCCAGTTGAGAGAGTGCTGAAGATGCACGAGGGCAGGCCCCACGCGGGTGACCTGATCGCCAACGGGCAGATTCAGCTGACCGTGATCACCAGCTCTGGAGACACGCTGGACCAGATTGACGGGCGGAGACTGAGGCGGATGGCCCTCGGGTACAAGATTCCGGTGATCACCACGGTTGCCGGAGCACTGGCATCTGCACAGGCAATTAAGAGCTTGAAATCCAATGCCATTCAGATGTCTGCTCTTCAGGACTACTTCCACGTTCCAAAGGAAGCAGAGAATAGGGAGAAACTTCCCTCCTTGATCGATTAATTAGACTCTTGTTATTTATTAAAGGTCTGATAAGATATTTTTGATACATTGAATGAAAAATGAATGAATGTAGACATACACTATGTCTACATTCATTTATTTTCCAATGTATCAAAAATGTCTAATGAGACCGTTAATATGGAATGGCGGGAGTAATTAAAGTCAAATTCCTCTTCTTTATTGGTTTGCTACTGATTACTGCAGTCTTCCCTTTTGCCTAAATTTTTATCTTATATGTGTGTACATTAATAGTTCATTACCTTTGATCAATAATAAAGTGTCCCTTTGGACTTTGGGATCTGTGGACATTGTTTTATACCCTTTGTTACAAATGTACAAATTTGGTTTAATCCACATCATTTGTTACAATTATAGAAATTTACCACTAAAATTGTTAAAAACAAAAGAGAACATGTGAACTTAATTTAAAAATAGATTTGTTCAATTCTCATAAATATGGTTTATTTAACGAAATGTGAAGTGAATTTAATAACACCTTTTAATAATTTCAAACAAGCGCATTGTTGCTTAAGATGCTGGTGATATTTCCGTTCGCATTGATGTTGGTGAAATTGATGCCTTTTCAGAGAAAAAAATATGGAATATTTGAAATATGGTGTATATTATAGGCGAAAATTAGTAATGTTACTCTATTTTGAACAATTCTTTTTATATATGTCTTTCGTCTCAATTTAAAATATACCCCGAGTATGTTACTATTCATATAGTTAAGTTTTAATTCTTTTTTGGTTTGTTTTTGTTATTCATTGGATAAAATAATATTAATTCAATTAATATTCTAGCTTATGGGTGCATTCCACCTGGGCCACAATTTGGGTTGGGCCCTACCAAACCCAATCGAGTAAGGTCTAAATGGTGCACAAAGGTTGACTCGGCTAGGTTTCCCTGAAATCTTGTTATTTGGAAACTACAAATGACCGGTCATAGAGTGTGGCATCGCCGGGAAGTTCCCGAATGAACTCAAGACTTTCCTTCAAGAGAGACCACCTGAGTGGACATCTAAGACTTGAGAAGATTGCTTGCATGGTGGATTGACTCGGGCGAGGTTTGATTGGACAGAAGCAACCTGGTCGAACTAGGATCCATGTACCAACGGTTGGAAATAGAAACATTCCCCCCCAACACTACACGCCAATGGAGACAGATATAGAGAATATATGTCAAAGAATGAAGAACAAACATTATAGGACAATAAGACATCAACTCATGGGCATGATATAGGCTTGGCATGAGGCCAATCATGGTCACACGTGGCCTTGTCTCTTAGACTACACGTGTCTCCAGTCACAGCCTTCCCGATCAAACTCGAGTTAAGTAATTTTTAGTACCTCAACCCAACATATCACCCTAGCTAGACCTGGTCTATAGCCTTTTGCCCTAATTTACACAATTTTTTGCACCGTCCGTGAGACTGAGTACCATAGAAACCATGTCTATCAGCCAGCAACACAACAACACCGCCATTTGCTCAACCTTGCTCGAAAGGAGGCAGGCCATCACCGATAAAACAACGACACCACCTACTCTTTCATAGGCCTTGCCCACGACTCTAACACCGCTTGGGGTTCGCCAGGTCCTAACTCCAACAATCGCGATGGCCTCAGTTGGACATATGTTCCCTTTCCCAAAAACTTTTTTCAGCCCGCGTGTGACTTTCCTTCTTAGCATGGTGCAGTTCGGTAGTCACCCGACAATCATGCACGCGATCCAACATTTTGGCCATGTACAAGCTGTGAGGGGGGGGGGCATGCCTTTTCTTATTTCATTTATTTTTTTTATTTCAAACATAAAAAATTTTGAATTTTTAAAACATAATTTAAAAATATCTATAAACAATGAAACAAAGAGGGCAAAAAAGGAAAAAAAACTAAAAAATAAAAATAGGACATGAGCTCTCGTGCCCCTTGTAATTTGAAAAAAACACACCAGTGTCTCTCTTCTTCAGAAATATGATCGAAAGAGTGTATGTGCAACATTTTAAAACTACATGAATTTCATAAATAAGTGTTGAAAGTAGAGGAGACATTGATTTCTATATTCTAAACTATAAAGAGTGTTAGAGTTAATAAGCTGAAATGTAATTATTTTTTCGGTAAGTCTAAAATGACACCAGTGCTATTGATGTCATTTGTTTACACCAATTCGTTTGAGGTAACTACAGTGCTCTGTTTGTAAAAACGACGGTTTCTACCTCCCTAACCCATCCCCCTAAACCCCAACCCAGCCCTCCTCTCGCCCCCTCCTTGTAGATTATGTTTAATTTATGATCAAAGATCATCACTACTTGAGTAAAAAAACCAAAACATGAAATTTTTTTAGACTAAAAGGAATAGAAGTTTTTATATTGTTTTTAAATATATAATTTTATTTTTTAAATTTTTTCAAATTTTCAAATAAATGGAATTAAAAAATAAACAAGACAGAATTTGTGTCGAAGTACAAGACTTTTTGTCTATATTATGAATTTCCACCCTCGTTAAACTGTGAAAGCCTCTCTCCATACCATCTCACTTTATCTCTTGCGCCGCAGGCTAGGGTTTTCTGCTCCAAGTCAGGGTTCCAGGTTCGCACCTCTGTTCATCTATGGATTTCATCAATTTTTCTCTCATTGATATGCATAATTGGTTCGTTTATGTACGCGGGAGTTGAATTTATTGATCCGTGCTTTTTTGTACCCGTCGTCAGACACCAGATGATGAATTTTCGGATCGTCAAACGCTTTTTTTAATGATCGGAACAAGATCTCGTTCGATTTGTGTAATCGTTTGTTTTGAAAAATGTTACTTCGTTTATGAATATCAGCGAGGATCTGCAGGTGGTTTTGAGACATGTTTGGTTGTTGTGTTTCGGCGTGTTTTACAATGGATGTATCTGTGTAGGTGCTTGATTGGGGATGTCGAGAGTATATATCGGAAACTTGGACCCAAGGGTTACTGAAACAGAGCTTGAGGATGAGTTCCGTTGCTATGGAGTGATAAGAAAGTATTGAAAACTATCTTTCCTTTTTTTCCCTTTTCTCTTGCTCAATTCATCTGACCTGATTTTCTGAATATAATGTTTTGTATAAGAATTGGTCTATTTTTTTCTGTTCCATTATAAGAGCAGTATTTATCACTAAAATATACGATCTTCACATGAAGTAGGTAAAAAGTAGTGTCTATATATGGATGTGATTGTGTGAACATTTACATGTCTGTGCAACCGAGTTTGAATATACAGAGTAATACATATTATGACATGTGAGTTTGCCCTTAGACTTGTTGTAGAATAGACCTTGATGTACTTAACACCTTGATTGTTGTATTTAATTTATGTTGCCCATGTTTCTAAAATAATTTTTGCACTAAATGGATAGCCACCGATAATGTTTTTTTCACTTAACTACCTTCTTACAGACTATGTCAAATAGTTATGCCTATTGTGTGAAGTGATGAGCAGGATTCATGATCTAAATTCAGATTAAATGCCACTGCGTGTACTGTTTTAGCCCATTTATCTCATTCAGATAATTTGTTTATAGTGTTTGGGTTGCAAGAAGGCCACCTGGCTATGCTTTTATCGATTTTGATGACTCAAGAGATGCATTGGATGCAATTCATGGAGTGGATGGTATGACCCTTGGTACCCTAAATGAACCTATTTTAGTCAAAGTGTTATGAACGTAAACATGTAATCTCTCTTCTGGGTGTTCAGATTTCTAGTTACATTGAAAAAGTAACTCTCCCTTTAAAGTACTTTCAATTATCTTTTACTGCCTACTACTAATAAATGATATGTTGGTTCTTATTTCCTTGTTAATTGTGGGTTATATCTTGTCCAGGTAAGAATGGATGGAGGGTTGAACTTTCTCACAGTTCTAGAGGTGGAGGCGGAGGAGGACGTGGGGGAGGACGCGGGCGCTCCGGGGGTGGTTCTGATTTGAAGTGCTATGAGTGTGGTGAAGTAGGTCATTTTGCTCGGGAGTGCCGCAATCGTGGTGGTGGTGGAGGTGGTGGAGGAAGGCGCCGTAGTCGCAGCCCACGCAGATATCGCAGAAGCCCAAGCTATGGTCGGAGGTGTGTATTAAGGTTACATGTAAAACACACAACATGCAGTACATTTTCCGAGACTTTACATTTCACATAGAAAGTTCTCTCTTCATCGTGCAATTGTAGTACACTGTATCTATCTCATGAATCAGGGAAATGAAAGTTCTAATTAATTTCGTAAAAACATTTAATTCCAAGACTATTTTAATTTCACACATTTTACAATTATACGTCTAAATTATGCTGGTTAGATAGTTCTCCAAGATGCATTGAATTAGAGGCATGTGTAGGAGTAAAGAATAAATAATGTTTTCCTAGGATAGATCAAAATGGAACATCAAGCCATCTATGTGGGACGTAGGGAGTATTTTGATGTGTCATTACTTTCGTTGGTATTGCAAGTGTTGAAAATGTGATTTCTACATAACACATCTATGTTTTTCTCTATATTGTTGTTTCCTATGACAGGAGTTACAGCCCACGGGGTCGATCTCCTCCTCCTCGACGGCGCAGTGTGTCTCCTCCTATTCGTGGACGTAGCTACAGCCGTTCGCCTTATCGTGGGCGAGATGAAGCTCCCTATGCTAACGGGTGATTTTTTTGTTTACTATTAAATACAACTGATTCTGTATGGTGTTTTTGCTCTACTACATCAGGATTCCCCCCTCTTCTGTTTTTTTAGTTAACTCAATCTAGATACAAGCTTCACAATTTATGAACTGTTCTTTGTACAGTTTTATCACTAAACTTAATCTCTAGTTTGTTTGGAAAGAAATAGACCGGCCTTTACATAAACATGGAAGTAGAATTTTAATGCTAAACTTTGTGCAAAAAGTCAAGTACAAAAAGTTAATAATTCAGGGTTTTTTATTGTCAAGATTGCTCCCTCATAAAAGAGACTATTTAAAAACTAATTATAAAAAATGTGTCATACTTGATATTTTAAAAGAAATACCCATTTTGTTAACAAGTTCAATACACTAATAAAGTAGGTTTCCACAGCCTTTAGGAGTTTTCTATCAAAATTTAGGTGCTGTTTTTACAAGAAGGTTAAGGAAAACATATTTGTTCTCTTTCTCTTTATGTGATCATATTGTCTTGCAGAAATGGTCTCAGGGATCGACACAGAAGCAGGAGCTAGGATGTGTGCGGGGAGAAGTGGAAAACTATTTCCAAAACATTCAGAGTTGTGTTTCTACTTTTGCTTGAAGTACTACTAGATCACAACTGTGTAAGTGGAGTCAACTATTTTGTTTCAGCTGATGGATTTGGTTTAACTTGTCCTATCTTTTGATACCAAATGTTTATTTGGTTTCATAGTTTATGTTTGCCTTATGACCTTTATTATCACTATTATCCAATGACATTGGATCTATGGTTGTAACATTTCTTGATGCGAAAACCTTTTTAAAAGACACTGCTGAATTGTTTTCTCTGTTTTTTGTGCCGAGGTTGTCTTCCTGGTACCTACTACTGCTTCATTCGTTTGGTTTCAAATTGCTTCTACACTCTACTACTACTTCAGTTCTACTACTACTACTAGGTGGTTTTGTTCTTGTGTGGCACTCTGCTGCCGGATCTTCAATTTTTGAATGATTGTGGATCCCAGCTGGCTACTACGCTATATGCTTCTTCTATTTGTTTGAACGTCTGCGGGCAAAATGATGCGCCACTCTTCAAATCATAGCGGCATTTCGTTTCTAACATATATTAGTTATGATGAGTAACGGCTTCAAACACTCCTGCTTGCAGGTATTTCATCTCTTCCAGAGAACGGTGGATTTAATAACACCCAAAGTCCACATTTGAAATTCATTCTCCGTTTTAGTTTGCATTCATCTGGGCTTTCCTTTCCCCCTTTTTTAGTAAACCAATATAAATGTCTTCAATTAAATTCTCATTTGCATGTTTTCAGCACAGTGATTTCACGATATTTCATCTCTTTCATTAAATTTTCTCTTTATTTATTTCTAAAGAACCCAACTGCATTAATGATGCATTAGATTTGAAATTCTAGAGTTCAAATGAAATTTAAGTTTCCAAATATGATATTAAGGAATTGCAAATCAAAGATATAGATTGGATAAGATATTATATTTACACCACATACGATACGTGTGTGTTGTCATTGCATGTATCATTAGACCACAAACAATGATTGTCTTTACTTTAGTTTGTCAAACTCTTTTTTTAATCTGTCAAGTTGGATTATGATTCATCAAATACTACACGCCTTTTAAAGCTAACTTTGATAAAGATGTTTGCCATGCATTTGAAAGTACATTTGAAAGTGTTTGATAGAGAGTTGTTTTTTTCGTGATTTTAAGGTTCAGATGTAAAATGTAGCTTTCTCCTTTTATTTATAGACCTGCAATTGGGTCTTTTACGATACTAATGCATTAAGGTTAATAAAATGACCAAGTATCTTAATTTGCCTTTGAGGAAGGAGTATTTTTAATGTTTTGTAGAGGTTTCACTTTTGGAAACTGTTTATTGAGGGAAAATGTTCTAACTTCTTAATTGCCTTTGAGGATGGAGTGTTTTCGAGGTTTTGTAGAGGTTTCACTTCTGGAAAGTGTTTATTGAGTGAAAATGTTCTAACTTTTTTTAAAAATGAATTGTATGGTTTGTGTTGTCTATTATTTGTGTGCGTAAACTAGAACAATACAAATTATCCTTTAACATAAGGATTTGGGAAAAGAGAATCATAAAATGAGACATAGAAAGAATGTGGCTTGTTGTAGAGTTGATATTCCAAGAAAAAAGGACATTTCGTTTTTGAGCTTAAGCACTTCTCTTTTTGCCATGCCACTCAAAGAACTCTTGTTTTTGCCTCTTGTGGCATCATCAATTCACCATGTATGGAATGGTTTGAGTGTGGTATTCCATGTTTCTAGAGAAAAAGGCTAAAGTAAAAGTAAAATATTTGAAATATATGAAAGTAAGAGTTTTATGTTTTTATTTTCGAAATAAGAGTTAAAATGTATTTACAGTATCAATTGTGATCATAAAAAAAGTATTGGGCAATGTCAATGTACAGTGTTATGTTATTACAATGAATTTTTATTTAAGAGATAAAAATATGAAGTTCTTATTTTGATTCTTTTTTTATTTTTACTTTTTGTTGAAAACAAAGCCTTTTTCACAAGTAATTTTTTGTTTTGATAAAATAAATAGTAGAAATAATTTTGTATACTTTTGTTGTCTTCTACCTTGTTTTCTTTTTCTATTGTGAGAGTAACTAAATTCAAAATCTTTGATGCACATTTGGATAAATTTTTGGTTTACTCTTAGTTTTTTTTGTTTATTAAAACAACCATGCTAGGGATATATTAAGAAATGTATCTCAAATTGTACTTTAAAGAGATGCATCGATATTTTTATGATTTACACTGGCATAAACTTTGTTGTAATAAAAAAATTTACATTGACAATTTGTCTCATTGTGAATCATTACACTACAATAAAATATTGATGCGTATCTTTGGCCCACAAAGTGCGGTATAATTTTTGGGTTACAGATATCTTAATTCTTATTAAAGTACGGTTCAATTAAGTTAGAAGCAATGTTCGGTGAAATTTTCTTAGGGGAGCATCTATTTTAAAAAGTCATTTCATCGTTCAAATGCTATACATAATGACTTAATATTGAATTAATCATGTTTCAAATTCTTTCGAAAGAGTTGAACAAGAAATTCGTTACACTCTAGCTACTTCGTACGTTGGTTGAATGAGTGGAATGAACTACGAAGAGTGAAATTGAGGCTACATACAGATATCTTAATTCTTATTAAAGTACGGTTCAATTAAGTTAGAAGCAATGTTCGGTGAAATTTTCTTGGGGGAGCATCTATTTAAAAAAGTCATTTCATCGTTCAAATGCTATACATAATGACTTAATATTGAATTAATCATGTTTCAAATTCTTTCGAAAGAGTTGAACAAGAGATTCGTTACATTCTAGCTACTTCGTACGTTGGTTAAATGAGTGGAATAAACTACGAAGAGTGAAACTGAGGCTACATATTAGAAATATGAGAAAAATACTCCTTCCATCCCAATTTTAATCGCATGTTTTAGTTTACTATTTATAAAAATTAGAGCAAAATTAAAAAATAAGCATTCATTAAAAAATTACATCAAAACTTTACGAAATAAGAAGTGATATGATTATATTGTTTTATACCCCGTAGTAAAAAAATAATAAAAAACAAGAAAAGAAATTGAATGAAATTTAATCATATGAAAAATAAACATGTAATTTAATTTGAGATAGAAAAAATATTATATAATCAATCGATCAATGAAATGAAAATTTTAAAATATTAGTGTATAAAATTCACAATTAAGTTATCAATGACATGAGTTTCTTAAAATATTAGGGGATAAAATTCACAATTAAGTTTAAGTCTACCGTTCCATTCTCTAAATAAAATTTAATTTTTTTATTAAATAAAGGAAAAATTACCCAAAATAATCTCAACTTTATTCGGTCTTTCAAAAATAATCCCACCTTTCACTGTGATGCATAATAATCCCAACTTTACTGAAATTTGCCAGTTTTGGGTCGCCGTTAAGTTTCTAACGGAGGGATAACGGAAATACCCATTTTAGACAACAAAATGAAAGTTGGGATTATTTTTGATGAATTTTTGTTTTTAATTTTTTTTTAAATTTTTATTTAAATTTTTTGAATTACTTTCAACCTCTATATTTGTTTTTCTTTTTTAAAGATTATTCTTACCTTAGAAAAAAAATAGATATAAAAAATAATAAAAATGAGAAAAATAACTAAAACCATACAAAATTAATCAAATAAATAATGTAATCAATAGAAATTAAACAAAAACTGGTAAAAAATAAAATAAATATATATGGAGTCGTGGGTTTAACATTTTACACACTATACAGAGTCTTAATGTACTACTTATTTTTTAAAAGAACAAGCCGTCTGGTAAAGTTAGAATTATTGTAGATAATTTTTTCTAAAAAATAAGAAGTGGTATGTTAATAATACTTTGTATAATGCCTAAAATATTAAAACCCACCCGTATATTTTTATTTTATTTTTTCGAATTTCAAGTTAGTTTCCATTGATTAACGTATTTATTTTATTATTTTTGTATCATTTTAGTTATATTTCTCATTTTTTTATTTTTTATATCTATTGTTTTTATTTTTTAAACTAAGACTAATCTTTAAAAAAGGAAAAAGAAATGATGATGGAGAGAGAAAGTAATTTAAAAAATTTAAATGAAAATTTCAAAAAAAAATTAAAAAACAAAAATTCATCAAAAATAATCCCAACTTTCATTTTGTTGCCTAAAACGGGCATTTCCGTTAATCCTCCGTTAGAAACTTAACGGCAACCCAAAACTGGCAAATTTCATTAAAGTTGGGATTATTATGCGTCACAGTGAAAAGTGGGATTATTTTTGAAAGACCAGGTAAAGTTGGGATTATTTTGGGTAATTTTTCCTTAAATAAAAACAAAAAGTTTTGGACCTTGAGGCTTGAGCTGCTGAGCCATGGCCTCCATTACTCCCACACCTCTCATTTTTCAGAATCTCGTACGAGTCTCCTCCGCCGCCGCTTTCCCGACGAGGAATCCTCGCCGCCAGCATCTCAGTTATCTCCGGCGAACGCCTCATGCATCTGCAATTTCTGCGGCGTCTCCGGCGGTTTCCAAGCCCGACGTCCTCGTCCATTCCCTTCTCTCTAAAGTATATATACTTATCCCCTCTACTATCCATCAGCTTACACCTTCGATTTATGAATCTGGAGCTTCTTTTGGCGGTCAGATCTGACTGAGACGAGTTTAATGATTGCAATTGAATTAGGTTTTGGAGTCGGATAGAGGAGTTCTGCTGGCCAGAGAAGATCACATAAAGGTGGCGGAGATGGTTCGTGAATTGGAGCGCTTCTGCGTGGAGAAACCTGTTAACTGCCCTCTCATATTTGGAGGTAATATTTTCTTTAGGTTTACTGCTAGATTAAATCAAAGTATATTCCTGCACTTTGAGTTTTTTTTAGTCAAATTGCACAAACTTCGACCATCAATTCAATTTTAAGTGCATTGCATATTACCCGTAATATAATGAAACAATATCTTGAAAGCTTTTTAGCAGATTTTTTTTGATTTTTAAATTTGAACTATCCTCTGGACAGAGTCTGGACTTGATCCTCTAAAAAACCATGTTGGATCTAAGGGAGTTTGTCTGTGGTAACTCCTATTGTGGAGTCAACCTTTTTGTAACCTATAACTAAGAACTATGGATAACCGATAACCCAATGAACCTAAATCTACAGTTCATATGTATGGAGATGAAGTCTCTATTTGATGGTAAATTATGGCATAGCTTTCTTCTTTTCTTTATGAACAAGTAACTTTTGACTTATCAGGCTGAAATGGGTTTTACCGAATGTTGTTGTATCTCATAGAAGATTCAGCCAGATAACCTTTCCAAACAGGCTATAAAATGCTCATAGCTTCTGGTTCCACGAAACCTCTTCGTAGATTGATTTAATTGTTATTTGGTTGCTCATTCATACTAAATTTTAGAAATTTTAGAACTATTATTCATTTCAGAAAATCCTTACAGAATGGGATGTAGTCTACTGTTCAAATCCCACATCACCAGGAGGTCTCTATAGGAGCGCACTTGGCCGCCTTTTCTTCAAAACGAAAGAAATGATTCAGGTTCTTGAAGCCCCCAACATTGTGAGAAACAGGGTCTGTTTCTCTATTTTGGGATTCATTGATGGAGAAGTTTCTTTGACAGGTATCTTAAGGCAGCATAAGTATTTCTCTCTCTATTGTCTGGTTGCTTGTTGGTCATATCCAATCTTGTGCATGTTGACAATATCAATATTCGTATGGGATATTACTATAAGGGGGTGTGTGGTTTCGGCTATTTTGATGGCCTTATGGTATAGCTACTCCTCCCTTCCCCTTCTAATATTCTTTCTTCCATTCATCAAGGAAACAATATGTGATTCATATTTTTGTATTGTTTTCTAAATTAATCACAATCCCATACTCTCGTTTTCTAGAATTATATGTCAAATCAAATCAAGAACATTAAATGGGGGACGAGGGTAGCAAAATGAACTCTTGGAAGGTCGTATGGGTTTGTTGGGATGTGAGATACTGTCATCTTTAGAGTACCATTGCCTAATGTATTTGGAAAAGATTTTGAGAATGTATATTATCCGATTGTAGATGATGAATTTGTTGAAATACTTTGGTAGAACTACATGTTGGTCTTATGGGGGACCATCGATCACCCTTAGGGATTCGCTACTGTGCTTGTCACGGTATCGGGTATTGACAGCCCAACCTGACGAGGTACATGAGTCGTGTATCTTGCGAAGCCCCTCCTGTCCATCCACTGCTTAATAGTGGGGCTCCGCACTGTTGTAGTGAACTATAGGGGGTACCCTATAGGAATCTACCTCGGCTTGGGGCTATAGAGAGATGTGGTTAAATAAAAGTGTCCACCTTCCTATGACCAATTGGTTTTAGGAAGCATTTGGCACCTCTTTAACTTCAGAACTGTGTAGTTAAGCATGCTGGAACGAGAGTAGTCCCAGGATGGGTGACCGATCTTACACTACATAACAACAAATCTAGGGTAAAACTACAAGTGAGGTTTGGAGAGGGTAATATGTACGCAGATCTTTTCCAATAGACCCTCTACGGAAATGGAGTTGAATCAAAGTGAGTTGGAAACAAGTTACGCAAATAAATAAAAGCTCGTAGATTCCTTGGTAGAACTACATATATGTATTAAATAAATTTATCTTTTGAAATGCTTGTATATTGTTTCTCTTTATTTTTGTTAGAAAATAAGTATAACTACAACAACATTAAGAAACCCAGTAAAATCCCACAAAAATTAGGGTTTGGGGAGGGGTGTGTACGGAGATGTGAATAAAAAAGGGCAATACCCATGTAACCATGTTACATGATGTAAATCTGGTATTAATCTTTTATGATATGCTTTTTTATACATTAACATATTGGACCACGTTACACTCACACCACAAATGACACCATGGTTGACTCCACATTGTCATTGATAGTGTCAATCCTACTGTCATTCATGTGGTTAGAGTAATAATTTCCCAATATATATAAAATATTAGCTGTTGCCTGAGTTTTTTATTGTTCGGTTACTCGGGCTTATTTATGGCTTCTCGTGTTCCATTTCACAAAAAATGCACAGGAAAATTGAACGTCCTCGACGAAAAGTGGATTGAAGTCATCTTCAAGTCCCCAGAGATTAAGATAGGGGGGCTAGAATTGGCATATGGTGGTGAGAGTGAAGTTAAATTGGAGATCTTATACGTCGACGAGAAGATGAGGCTGGGGAAGGGCTCCAGAGGTTCGTTATTTGTTTTCCGGCGGAGAGATATTGTTTAAATGTTCATATTCTGTAGTTACCTAGTGCATGTACATTATGTTTGTTTGGGTACATTATCAATTTTGATATTGCCAGAAGTCGAATTCTTTTATTTGTTAGGAGTGTTGTAAAACTATTGAGAAATCAATTCAATCAAAAACTTAAACTTGTGATTTTAGCACATGACTTATTTTACACTAATATATTTCCTCACATGTAGATGAGATTTATTTTGATTCTAAGTAATATTGCAATTCAAACTTGTGATTAATAAGTTATGTTTGCCTTTCAGTCATAAAGGATTGCAAAAAACGAGATTTGGAAGATCTTCACTTTTACCGTAGCAAAAAAGAGATAAGCATGGTGATTTGACATCTAGTTTTTTGTGGTGTGCGGCTCAATAAGAGATTTTGACTTTTCATACATTTTCTGGATGCTGCACAAATAGGCATCATAGGTCTCATTTTCCAATCAAATACTTTAAAGATTTTTTTAATCAAAAAGTTTAATTTTGAATGAGACATAAAGTAGATTTAGACCTTAAAAGAAGATAATGCTTTAAAAAAATATTGTGCACACGCAGACCTAGACGGCTGAAGTGATAGGTTGCATCGCTAGCCTCAAAACCAAAAAAAGAAGCCCAATAGCATGCAACCCATATTCAGTGACCCGACCCAAATAATTTAGCCGGGAACACTGTTCAAAACAGCCTCACACCTTTGTATAGATTAAGATACTTGATAAACTTTATAATTGTATATATTTGATGGAGTATCACAATCATAATGACAGACTCTCAGCCTAGGACATGATTTTCTTTAAGGCCGGCCTTGTAATGCCCCGAAATGTACCTTAGAATTTTATAATGAATTTTTAGTAAATTTTAATTCTAATTTCCGTTTGAATTAAATAAAAATCGAAATGAAAATAAGATATTTTAAAGGAATCCTTTTATGGTCAAGATTACACTCGAATTGAAGGCCTCGATGGAACGAGTTCAACGACATGTCCCACGTACAAATCCGAGGTACGAAGGTTAGAGGTTTGACCGTCCGAGACGGAGAGGATTATAAAGAAAACGAATAAAATCAAATATGACGTAAACTTAATAATTTCTAATGAAATTTGAGTTTTTGGATAGGTCTCGTAAAATGGTGACCAACAGTATATAGTTTGTTAAATTTAGATATACGCATAAAGCGTGATGAATAAAATAGACATTACAGTTCAATAAATAAATATAAAATTTTTATAATACTCCATCCGTCCCTAAATAGATTTCTTTTCTCTCTTCTCTCGATAACTTTGGTTGTTTACGCGATTTCATTAAGTATTTGATAAAATAAAATATTCTTGTCACCTCTTGTTTTGTAGAATTTTTGACATAGTTTTTTAATATGTAATTTTTTTATCCTATTGATATACCAAATTATAAATAAAATAATTTCAAAAAATAAGAAATTTCACTTTGTAACCCGTAATTTGTAATCAAATTGGGGACAGAGTAGTATGAAATAACAAAAATGCTAGGGGTACACCACACAAAGCAAGAGAGAAAAAAATTTAAAATAAAAAATAAATGAAAGGCTAGAATGCATGGTGTACAAATTGGGGTACCCCAAATGGGGTACCCCTAGCATTCCTCATGAAATAATAATAGAAAAATGCTAGGGGTACACCAAAGGTGTACCCCATTTGTCCCCCACCCCCTCCATTACCACAAAAATGGGCAAAAATTTTTTAAAAAAATTAAATAAATAAAAAGTAGATAAAAATGAATGGTGGAGAAGGGGGTGGGGGACAAATAGGGTACACATTTGGTGTACCCCTAGCATGGCTCATAATAATAACATTATCACCAAAGCTAATCCCTACGCCTATTCCTACCCCAAAACGAATAAAAGCACAAACTCCCTCACCCAATTAAAGTGTGTATACTCTGTCTACAAATAAACTTTTCGTTACGCGTTACAATGTTTGACGAAAGTTATTTTCAAATTATTATATATGAAAAATGGTGTAAAATTTAAAAATAAAAATTACAGATTAAAAAAAGTGTACTCCAAATGTACACTACTCACTTTTCTACTAATTTTTATTTATTTATTTATTGTTTAATTTATTTGCCAATATATGTGAGGGGTGGTGTACATTTAGTTACACTTTACGGAGTATTTGGGTACACTTTTTTTGGGTACACTTTTGGGGTAAATTTCACAAATGGTACCTGAACTTTAGCTGGAATTTCGAAGTGGTACCTCAACTTCAAATCCTTTCACAAAAATCCCTGAACTTACACAATCCTTTCACTAATGAGGCATTAGCCCGTTTCTAGGTTAACTTCCGGTCATTAGGGCCAAATTCGAATTTTATATATTTTAAAATTTTCAATTTGACCCCATTTCTTCTTTTCTTTTCTTCCACGCCCCGCCGCCGCCGCCCGCCGGTCAAAGTCGCCGGAAAATGAACTTTTTCCGATTCCGGCGGGACCAATGTCATTCTCTTCGTCTTGAGACGAGGATCAATAATATCCAAACCATTTTGTCTAATTTGGCCT